GAGTGACGAGTCGTGCATGTAGAATAGTCTGAATAGATTAGGGAAAACTTAATTATTATTATTTTTAAATAATACAGAAACCCACGGGTTTACTCGGCCCACCTGCAAAAAAAATAAAAATTGGGCAAGGGCGAGGGCCTAGGTACAAGTCTAGTTTTCACGAGTCTATAAGAGTGGACCGTACCCTATATTTTTGGATGGGTATAGGTCAATCCACGGGTATAGACCCATTTTGTCAGGTAATAACAAATAAGCAATTATATTTTGAACATATAAATAACAAACCTCAAGGACTAAAATGACACTTAAATCGAAGCTTAAGGACCAAAAGTTAGTTATAAATTTTGAGTAATATTACGTCTATAATCCAATCTCACGATTTTTTTTTACAATCTTCAATGTGACAGTTCGTTATTGATCAGTTCGTAAAATGAGTGTCATCTATTTATATGGATCCTATTGCCCATTTATAAGTTAATCAATAATGAGTTATTATATCAAAAATTGTAAATTAATTATATAAGATTAGATTGTGAAACTACAATATCCATAAATTTTACCACTAAAATTTCTTAGACCAAACCAAATTGTTATGATCCCGGTAAATTTATGATCTATCGCACAAACACGAACAAATACACGTCAGCTAGTCTAGATTCTAGCCTTAGACTTTGAGACAAAAATTCTTTACATTTACTATTTTAATAAAAAGTTCTAAAGATATTTGAACTTTTGCATTATAAATTAATTATTTTGACAACTTATTTCATGATATATAAAATTTTAATTCCAACACAAATTTCTTTTATAAATACTCTCCACTCTCGCCTATTTCTTCCTTGTCCTCTCATTCCCTACTCTCAAACTCAAAACTTTCTATTCTTGATTTCTCGGTGCGTTGGGTACTGTACTTGACTATTTTTGGAAGTATTTAAATTTGCCTTTTATTTTTTTATTTTGGGGTTTGATTTATTACATCCTTAAGTTGTAGTCCTCTCCTAGATTTGGAAATGGCCGCCTCGCAACAAGCTCCTACTGTCTCTGAGAGGTAATGTTCTTCTCCTCTTGAAGTTCCTTTCAATTTTCAAAGATTCAATAATAGATTTCAATTGCATTCGTAAGGTTTAGTGTTTTTGGACATCCTTAGTAATAATAGATTACAAGTTTTAGTCCTCTCCTAGATTTGGAAATCCTATTTACTCTCTCTATTTTCTTTCTAGTCAATTTATTAATTGACTTTGTTTAGTTGTAAATAAACGATATAAAAGTAATTAATTAAAATTAATTGCTTTATATATTCTAAAATCCATCATAAACCACCATTGTCAAGCAGATTTGGCTGTCGACATGGCCTGTATGGCCAGCCAGATCTATCCAGCCCATGGGCTACAACGGTCCAACAGATCTGGCCCGCATGTAGCCCACACGGCCATCTATATTGGCCGCCTTTATGGCCTCAGTCAGTCATGGTAAACCAAGAAAAAAAATGAAAGAGAGAAAATTAGAGAAGAAAGAATAAGGGGGAGAAAATAAAAAAAAGAAAGGAAGGAAGAGGAGAAAAAAAGAAAAAAGAAATAAATGAATAGAACGGAAGGAGGAGGAAAATCGGAGAAAGATGAAGAAGAAGAAGAAGAAATAAGAGATGGGATGAAGAAAGGAAGGTGGTGGAAGAGAGAAACAAGAGATAAGGTTAGAAATAGGTTATAAACTTCATACGTGGCTTGACTCGACTGCCACCCTGTCTGACTTCCCACACATTGTAAATACCATATTACCCTCATGAAACATAAATTATTTTTAAAATAAATAATCAAATAAAAATATCTAATTAAGTAAAAAAAGAAAAGGAAAAAAAACTCTAGTAACAAACCAAATCAAGATTCAACCACCCTGTTCAGATTCAACAACTAGAATCAACCAAAAACAATCTCTAAATAGTTGTTAGGTTCAAGTTTTAAATCTTGTTAATGTTGTTCATGTAATATAAAGTTACTTTCAACCCTGATGTTTTAACTTAACAGAAAAATGTTAACGTTTGACTAACGGAAAGGGGGATTGTGATCTATATCCAAAAAATATGAGGTTTATTGTTATTTACGGTTCACTTCAGGGGCTTTAATAAAGTTTGCTCTTGAATTTTATCTCTTTATTTCTTTAAGGCATTGTTTATGTGATTTTCAAATTTCAATGATGAAATTCTTAAATAATCTTTGTAATAATACTGATCTGTTACACCTCTCAAAGATATGATAATTCTATTGACGAATTGTGCACTTCGGATAAATTATAAATTATTTGAAAATATATATATATACTATAAGTTGGAGGGAGGAAGACAAAAAAAAAAAAAAAAAAAAAAAAAAAGTTATTGCTTCTGGGAGAAACTTAATTACATGCCCTTTAGGTCAATCAAAAGGTATGTCAAACCTATTCTTTATATTAGATCTACAGTGGAGTATAGGACTTCTATAAACTTGTTTTTTTTTTTAATTTATGCCTACATTTCTATCAGTTTTTAATTATTTAACATATTAACTTTGTTTTAAATAATTAGTTGAAATCGAAAATATCTTAGTAAAGTAGAGTCATCCATTGTGATCAATGAAAAGATGAGAAAAAAAAAAGCTTCATTGTCCTTGGATTATAGTCCACTAACAATTCAGAAAATTTTAATTTTCACTAGCAAAATGTTACTGACTCAAGTTCTAGTAAAATATTTTTCAGTAAAGTCAAAATGGCCTAGATGAAACAACAATGAAATACTGAATACAAAAGCAAAATAATAACTGACAAAAATCAGGGAGTCTTTATAAATTAACAAACTTCGGAGGGTTAAAATAGTAAAATAGTTGATTGAATTGAATTTGAGAATAATGAAAAAATATGTATTTTGGGTAGGATAGAAATACAATAGAAATATTAAAACAAACAGAGGTGTTTTCTAAGAATTTTATTTCTTTCTTGAAATAAAAATAAATGAATTAAAAAAAACTTTAAAAAAGAAAAAAAAAACCGTCCATAACTTAATCCCTCATCGTCCCATTCAAAAATCATCAATGGGTGTGGTGGGGTTGCTGGGATGAAGGAAGAGTGTGTGGGGGGATGAAGGAGAGTGTGTGGTTTGATGGGCATGGGAAAGGTAGAAAGGTTGCTGGGCATGAAGGAAAGGATTTGTTGGGCCCAGAGCGTCTCTAGAATATTTGTGATCCTAGGTAGGAGTTATTTGGGGCCCTAATAATATAAGCATATTAAAAAATATATTTTTTTTTTTTTTTTTTTGCCTTTTGAGATGAAAAATCATAAGGAGAGGTGGACAGCAATCGGCAGGCTAACAAGGTTAGGTTGGTAAGGGGTTTTGGAGAGTAGATGTTGGAGAAGTGATGGGTGGTGAAATGAGTGATTTCCAATGCCCAGATTGATAAGAAAAGGCTTGAGAAGTCACAGCCCAAAAGGTATCGATGGACGGCGATTGGCAGAGTAAACAGATAAGTATGATAGGGGTTTTGGTGAGAGGGCTAAGGAGAGGAAGATGGTGGGTCGAGGGAAGGCCAACAATGGGGTACATGCCAAAAGGCTGGAAATGGCTGCGTGTGGTGGAGTTGGGTTGCGAGATTCATCAAAATTAGTCAAATCAAGGGCTATCAAGGTTGGGAAATGATAAAATGATGATTTCGGTTGATTTTGGTGAGAAAATCGACCGAAACCAAAATTGACCGAAATCAACTTCAAACATTGGTGGCAGAAGAGGGCTGGAGAATGTGAATGTCAAATTTTGTGATTAAAATGGGGGTAAGTAATTTGAGATATGTAAATGACTATTTTAGTCTTCCATTGTTTAAAGAGATTCAATGTGTAATTTATGAGTATAAACTAGAAATATAAAAACAGAAGTACAAACTTGCTTATTTATTAAACTTGGGTGGGATATATGTAAAAAGTCATAATAAAATTTGGGCTTTTTGGCTTTTTTTTTGGGGCCCCTTGGCTTAGATAAGAAATTATAAACCATTTTCATTTTTGTAACATAGTCAAAAAAAAAATATATATATATATAAAATTTGGGCCCCTATCTTTTGGGGGCCTAGGCAGGTGCCTCACCTACCTACCCTTAAGCCGGCCCTGGTGGGCTGGTGATTTTTGGTTCGAATTTTTTTTTTTTCCTTTTTAATGTTTTTTACTATAATTTAGTGGTGATTTGTGAGGGTTGCAATGGCAATGGGCAGTGAGGCATCGGTTGTGAAATGGTGGTGAGGATATATGGATCGGGGATGGTTTTACGGGAAAGAGAGATGGTGAAGAAAAATTAGAAAAATGGATTTTTGGAAATTTTATTTTAATTATAAAACATTATGTAAAATTAATTAATAAAATTTATTTATTTTTATTCGTAAAATAAAAATAAAAACTCATCCTCAACTCAAGTATTCAGGGGCTTTCCATTTTAAAATAGGAAAGTTTTAAATGCGAATTAGGAAGTCAAATATAACCTTGACCCTTTAGTGTAAAACAAACGTTTGTCAAATTAAAGGGATGATTTTGTTAGTAAAAAATAAAACTGTCCTTGATAGTCAACTAAAACTATAGGGATTAACATGTTCTTACTTCTTAGCCCATTAAAAGATACATCGGAAATTCCTTTCCTTGGTATCTCATTTCTTGACTTTATTAATGATATAATAATAAATAACCTGCGTAATGTTTGAACACCTGGACAAAGTGATCAGTGATTCAGTGGAAAATAAATCATCGTTTATTTGTTTAATTTTTGGTACAGAGAGGCAATCCGCATCAATCATACATTACTCAGGGCATTGAAAAGTGGGGATAAAGATCAAGTTCAGGAATTTGCAAGTCGAAATGGCAACAGGTTCCCTGGCACGAGTCCGCAAGGTAACACAGCCCTTCATATAGCTGCAAGGTTGGGAAACGAAAGTGTTGTGAAAAAGATACTCACGCTTCAGTCTTCTTTTCTCAATTAGAGAAACCAGAACGGTGAAACTCCTGTGCACATTGCCGCGAGAATGGGTAAAATTGGTGTCATAAAAATATTCTTGAATGCTACAGAGCAAATTTCAAGGACTAAAGATAATGAAGATAATACACCTCTGCACAATGCTGTTCGGAATCATAACCGCAAGCTGGCTTTCATGCTGATAAATAAAGATCCTGAACCAATTCAGTATCTTAATAAAGCTAATCAGTCTCCTCTCTCTATTGCCATTGACGCACAAGTAACTCATATTGCATGCCTTATGATAAATAAAAATCCATCTTCCCATGGCCATAGAGGAACCGACGGATTGACCCTTCTTCACAGAGCTGTCATAAATCAAGATTATGGTATGACTATGAAAACAATTCTTTATACAGTTTGAGATTAAGTTAATGTGAACTCTCAGAAGTCACAACCCTTAATTCCTTTCTTGAAATTTAAATTCAGTTGTCATGGTCGAGATACTGCAAGCGAAAAAGGAACTTATCAATGAGCTGGATGCACATAATAGGAATCCTCTTCACTTCGCCGCAGCCATAGGTAATTCTAAGATGGTACGACACTTAGCAAATGAAGATGACTCACTTGTATATCAAGGTGACCGTGATGGTCTAACGCCGATTCACTTGGCTGCTAAGAATGGCCAGATTGTTGTGCTTAAAATGCTCATCGAATTTTATCCAGATGTATTTGAGTTGCTTGAAAATAAAAAACGTAATATCCTCCATGTTGCTGCTGAAAATGGGCAAGCGGATATTGTCAAATATATTCTTGCATTGCCTGAGTTGGAAGATTTGATCAACTCGCCTGATGCGGATGGGAATACCCCTTTACATCTAGCTGCCATAAAATTCCGTAACTATGTGATTTATATCCTCTCAACAAGTCCGAGGGTGAACATCAGTGGAACCAACAATGGAAAAAAGACTGCTCTGGAAATTGCTCAGTCATCTGGGGATCATGGAGATATGTCAAAGGTATATCAATTTTTTACTTTTATTACTCTTGTACTTTGAACCTATTATTAACAAGATAGATAGCTACCACTAGACTATATTAAGGCGAAGTAATTAGGGTTTATGGAGGTGATAAATTATGTAATGGAGCTTGGCCAAGGTTTTGCCCGAGGGTAACTTCTCTATATAGGGAAAAAAAATGCATTGAGAGTGTTTTTAAAGTATATTATTTAAACAAAAACAAATGTCTTATATGTCAGTCTTCTAAAATCCCATAATATAGTTAGAATAACCGTTACAAAGTATTCACCGAGCAAACAAAAACATTAATAAAATTATAGTAGCTAGTTGCATCTCTTCTTATTTGATGACAGTCTCATTCATTTTAGAATACTCTTTTATATATCTTGGAGTTATACATGTAGTACTGTGTTTCTCAGACTTGTATTTGCTTGTGTTACATATATTCTGTGTATTGCAGCTCTTGGCTATAGAAGCACTGAAGTTGGCCTATGCAAGGCAAGCTCCGTATCCAGATCGCATATTAGGACATGAGCCCTTGGTTGAAATAAGAGATATAAACCAAGGTTGGAAAATTGATGAAATGGCTAAATCCCTCTTAGTTATGGCAACGTTAATAGCCACATTTTATTTACTGCAGCTTTCACCGTTCCAGGGGGTTTAAAAAATGATTCTCCAGATAAGGGCATGGCAACTCTGACTGGGAAAACAGGTTTCCAAGCTTTTGCTATTCTGAATACCATGGCCATGACCACTTCTATGACTGCCGCAGTTCTGGTTATTGCATACTTCTTTTATAGGTATAAACGTCCTCATCTTTCTATGAAATGTATCGCTGGCGCTGTCTTGGCAACATCAATAGGACTTTTGTCAATGTTATTAGCATTCGTTGTAGGATTTTTCGTATTATTGTCCTACAATTCGATCCTTTCCATACTGGTGGTTTGTTTGGTTGGCATTGCTTCGCCCATCATTGTTTGCGTCATCTTTTTCTGTTTGTTTGACACAATATTCTTTTTTCTACTCTCTATAGCTACTCATCAGTCGACACTCTTGGAGACACAAATGATTTTGCTACCCTCCCTCCGTCCTAGTTTCATAGCTCCTTCAGCCACAGTAGACTTAATAGCTATTTTAATTAGAATGTTCAAGTTGTTATTAGACCGTGACGAGCGAAGCTACTGGTTCAGCTATTTGAGGTTCTTGATTAAGGTTTATTGTACTAAGGATATTGCCAGGACCGGACTGTTCGGTCTGATCAGGGTTAAACTGTTCTAGAACATCAGTATTTTCAATCAAACCGTACTAGATCACTGTTGGACCGGTGAAATAGTATCAGGCCGGTGTTGGCCAAATATCTGAACGTATATGGATATTTAGACAATAATAAGATCATTTTTATAGATGATTTATGATGTAGTACTATATACCATCAATATTTAATTTCTTGGTCAAATAGATTCTTATATTGATTATTGATATAAATTTATTTTTCGAGAGTTGATGATATCACAGGACAACACACTAGTGATTATAAAACTGTTGATGAATCTCAAATTTAATGAGTTGAATGGCTAAATTAGTAGGAGGGACATATATATTGTAACATATCAGAAAATTTCACCTAATGAACATTGTTATGCCTGGGGAAATAAGGGCTGACGTGGGAAAGTCACGTGAAGAGTGACCTGCTCCCGTCAGGGCAACACGCACACGTCAGACCTGCTACATGATATGGGGCTTANTAGATATAATTAATTGCAATTCTAAAAATATATTTAGACACAATTATATAAATATAAATCAACATCAATTCACATAAAATTTTAAATTTTAATAAATAAAATTAATTCCATGATGTAAATAGAATTCAACATGTAATGAAATTAAAACAAACAATTTCAAAAAAAAAAAAAAAAAAATAAGTGTACAGCCACATTCCTAAAACTGGGAAGGATCTGATAATCCTTATCCTAAGGTCTTTATCTAACTTGTAATTAACCCTAGGTAGGGAAACTCCCAGTTTCTTGTGATGTCCTTTATGAGTGGAGACTCCTATTGATGCACCAGCTGTCTTTTTCCCACTCCAATCTATGTACTCCTTGATATAGTTGTTGACTAAACATCTATAATTTTTATTGTCATCTTTAAATTATGAACTTTCAGCTTGGTCCAAACCATATCAAGGAGACCAACGAGATTAGGGTAACCAAGAGTCTCTCTTAGAACTTGGTATTTCGACTCATCTTCCTTTAATCCCCCTATCCAGACAATTACCTGAATCTTTTCATTCACATGAATGAAATGATTTACGAGTTGCACCAACTCATCCTCTGTGTCTCTTAAAATCATTGTGTGAATTTGTAGAGTTCTAATTATGTTCATAACCCTTTCCCTTTGAGCGGGTGTTCTAGCAACCATTGCACGTTTATAATGTAACATTTTTCTGTAACAAATACAAAAAAAAACTATTTATTTATCAAATAAAGGTTGACTATATTTGATAAATAATATATATACGTGTTTATTGTTTAATAACAAAAATTAGACTCATAACAACATACCAAATATTCATTTTTATTCCTTACAGCAAAAGAAAAAAAAATTTAGAATACTTCACGCGCCTCCACGCGCGCCCAGAAGAGGCCACGTGCCACCACGCGCCAGCAAGGTACTCCACGCGCTCACACAAATTCGGGTCGGGTCGGGTCGACATGTTCCACATTCAACTGGGTCATTCCTGACCCGAGTTTGGCCCGTTGACCTTGTTGACTTTACGGGTCAGGTGTTGACCGGGTTTGACTGACCCGTTTGGTCTTACGGGTCATGCGTTGACTAGGTTCGACCGACCTGTTTGACTTTACGGGTTGAGTTTGACTCATTACCGGGTTTGACTAACCCGTTTGGTCATATGGGTCGGGTCCACGGGTCAACTTGACCCAATTTTTTAATTTGGTTATGGGTTGGGCCGGATAAGAATATATTGGGTTTGTGAATATAGTTAACACAAAAACAAAATTAGCCCAGTGGTTAGGGTATTGGGCTTCAATCATGGAGACTTGGGTTCAAGTCTCACCACCCACGCCTATTTGAATTTTTTTCAAAAAAGAAGTCAAACAGGAAAAACGACATGTTATTCATCAGTTTGGATCGAAAACGACATGTCGGTTCTTGTTGTCTTCAACCTCTGTCCGGGTTTGCAACTGGGTACTTGACCCGGAAATCAACCCATACGAAACCCGAAACTTCAAAGAGGCATATCTAAGTCATTTTAACTCCATTTTTTATGATTCAAAAACCATTTTCTTCATAATTTCATAAGGAATTTAATGGTCTAATTATCATTACCAAAATGACAACTTTTTACGTACAAAATTTGAAAAATTCAGAACTGCATTTGACAAACCAATAACATGCTTCAACATTAACAGTATGAATTTAAAACAATATGAACCATGACTCTGATACCAATATTGGAAATAACATAGAATAACATATATCCTAACATAATCTCAAGATCATAGTCACCATTGCAATCACATTTGTATATAAATGAATTGACACAGCATAAATAATTCTGTTCCTTATCTCTGAAGCAATAGAGTTAATCTGGAAGAAAACCACGAAGTGTATTTCTCTTTTCCAAATTCTAGAGAGAGAGAGCATCTTTTCCTTTGCGTTTTTGTGTGTGTTGTAGTGAGTAACCTTTTCTAAAAGAAAAAACCTTCCTTTTATATGGGAACGGTTCGTGAGAAACTGCCTTTGGCAGTTTCCACTTCTCACACCCCTTCATCATGGGTGTATTTATCCAATACAAGGCAAGCTCCGTATCCAGATCGCATATTAGAACATAAGCCCTCGGTTGAAATAAGAGATATAAACCAAGGTTGGAAAATTGATGAAATGGCTAAATCCCTCTTAGTTATGGCAACGTTAATAGCCACATTTTATTTACTGCAGCTTTCACCGTTCCAGGGGGTTTAAAAAATGATTCTCCAGATAAGGGCATGGCAACTCTGACTGGGAAAACAGGTTTCCAAGCTTTTGCTATTCTGAATACCATGGCCATGACCACTTCTATGACTGCCGCAGTTCTGGTTATTGCATACTTCTTTTATAGGTATAAACGTCCTCATCTTTCTATGAAATGTATCGCTGGCGCTGTCTTGGCAACATCAATAGGACTTTTGTCAATGTTATTAGCATTCGTTGTAGGATTTTTCGTATTATTGTCCTACAATTCGATCCTTTCCATACTGGTGGTTTGTTTGGTTGGCATTGCTTCGCCCATCATTGTTTGCGTCATCTTTTTCTGTTTGTTTGACACAATATTCTTTTTTCTACCCTCTATAGCTACTCATCAGTCGACACTCTTGGAGACACAAATGATTTTGCTACCCTCCCTCCGTCCTAGTTTCATAGCTCCTTCAGCCACAGTAGACTTAATAGCTATTTTAATTAGAATGTTCAAGTTGTTATTAGACCGTGACGAGTGAAGCTACTGGTTCAGCTATTTGAGGTTCTAGATTAAGGTTTATTGTACCAAGTAGGCAAGCATATTGCCTGGACCGGACGGTTCGGTCTGATCAGGGTTGGACTATTCTAGAGCATCGGTATTTTCAATCAAACCGTACTAGATCACTGTTGGACCGATGAAATAGTATCAGGCCGGTGTTGGCCAAATATCTGAACGTATATGGATATTTAGACAATAATAAGATCATTTTTATAGATGATTTACGATGTAGTACTGTATACCATCAATATTTAATTTCTCGGTCAAATAGATTCTTATATTGATTATTGATATAAATTTATTTTTCGAGAGTTAATGATATCACAGGACAACACATTAATGATTATAAAACTGTTGATGAATCTCAAATTTAATGAGTTGGATGGCTAAATTAGTAGTAGGGACATATATATTGTAACATATCAGAAAATTTCACCTAATAATGAACATAAAAGTGATATTGATGCCACACTTCTTAGAGACGTATAAATCTACCTGTATGAAAGGGGGGTCTGATCCCGTAAGGTTGAGGCCACTAGCGATCCATTGCACCTGCACACGTAAAGAAACAAGTGCATGAAACGAACAGAAAACATCGGGGTGGTGTTTGCCATAGGCACTCCGACGCTCAAGTCAACAAGGTTGTAAGAGGTTAATTTAGTGAGGGCTAGGGAGTAGAGAGGTTACTGGAAGTCTAGTCGGGGACTGTGACTACGGCAGTGATGTGTAGCTCTCAAGTAGGAGCTTCGGGTGAGAAGGTGTAATGTAATCTGTCTTGTGAGAGGGTTGACCTCTGCTTATATAGTGACTGTCTGGTTTCCCTATCCTGGTGGGAGTAGAAGTCCTAGTGTGACTCTGATACAAACCCTAGAGGAGTTAGGGCAATGGTGAGCTATCTTACCAGTGTTCAGATAGGAAGGTGATCCCGAACAGGAAAGTAACTTCGAGTAGAAAAGTGATCTAAACAGGAAGGTGACCTTCGAATAGGAGATTGATCAGGAATAGGAAAATGATCTATGGCGGCCATGGGCTCTGAACTCGCTCATAGGTCCAGGAAGTGAGCTGGGATTGGGAGGCTTCTGCCCAGATGGTTTGGGCCAGCTATATCTCGAATCAAATGGGCCTGCACCGGGATTGGGCCTGGTCTCTTCCACACACTCACGCCCGTTTTCTTATTTGGGCCAAGGAAGATTTTTGGCCCTAACAGTTTGCCCCCTACTCTCTGAGTTAAGAATTATTTAAGTCAAAGAGTAGGAGCGATCGAAACGCGCTCGGTCTCTTTTCCTGGACGATCGATTGTCAGTGTAGCTAAACAGTTTGATGTAGGTGGTTCATAGTCAAGCGTCGTTCGGTATCCATTACCGATTCGGAGTATGCCGTCATCCCAAGAGGGAGTGCTCGATCGGTGTGAAGGGTTGAAGGGACTGAGATAACGAGCCTTCAGGGGCTTATGTGTTCATTCGGTGTGTCCTGCCTACTGGAGAAGTGAGCTGGACTCCCATAGCAGGGGTGTCCGCTTGGTATACCGGTTCGAGTGAAGTGGAGAGGATACTGAACTGAAGGTTCGTTCGGTCGAGGTGCTCGGATGATTGAGTGTGATGGAGTCAACTCGGCCGACTAGCTGGATTGTATGACATGCGCTTTTGATATCTCAGGGCTCTGTACTAGGTGCCATAGGGCCAAACAAAATGCTCGAGCTTTGATCGTAAGTCGCCCAATCGCCCGTTATGGAAGACCGAGTGAACAGGGCCTCTTGGCTTGGTCATCTTAAGGGCGAACATGGGCTAGGTTGCTCTTAGCCAGTCGACCAGTCAAGAGAATCTCTTGGACCAGTGAGACATGGGAGCCTGTTGGGACAACTCTGGTAGTCTAGTGTTGACTCAGTCGGGTAGGCTGGGCGATTGAACATGGTGTTGCGGTTTCCTAGGCGCTGTGGATCCTTGCCACGTGTATGGTGGCGATCTGCTTCTTATTTTTGAGGCGGGAAACCGAGGAGTCACTTTGAATGTTGGCCAATCATGGGCCTCCACGTGTCTTCGTCTGTCAGGTTTTCCTTTTAAAAACGAAAGAGCAGACCATTCGTCTTCCATTCACATTTTTCCTTCGTTTTTCTGCAAAACAAAAAGTTTTTTCCTTTGTGTTTTCAGCTTCTTTTTAGCGACGGCAGTTTCTCTCGGTAGACTTTGACTTTTTTCATGGTAAACATTCTACTTTCGCGACGTTTTTGTGTTTCTTTGTGCTTGTTTTGGTTTGTTGCTGAGTTTTTAGAAAATATGATGAAGTTTGTATAGTTTTGACTAGTTTTGACGTGTTTAGAAGTGTTGGAGTTTTGGTTTTCTAGAATAGGCTTGGATTTTTGGGTTTTTGGTGAGTTTTCGACGGTTTTCTCCAGTTTTTTGGTGTTTTCTGGAATTTTGGACGGAAAAAAGGGGAAGACGAAATCGGGTTACGTTGCATCTTGATCCAGCTCGGTCGGTCTGCCTGACCAAATCAAGTGACTGGGGCAGATCTAGCTTGTAAGTGACAGGTAAGTAGAATAGGTAGGTTATCCGGTCCGTCCGACTAAGTTGTATGGTCAATATTTGGGTTAGTGAGTCGGTGGTCAAGGGAAGTAGACTCATAGGGTTATGTTTGAAGGTGGGTCGGTCACTTGGGGCAAGCGAGGAAGGCTTTTTTGAACCTGGGATCGGGTCAGTTGTTAGCGGGGGCCAATCAGAGTTTAGGAGTTGACAAGTTTGACGGTGACATGTCAATCGGTTCTGAAGGACGAGTGACTACTGGGTGTTGTAGACTTACTCGGTTGGTAGATCGGGGTGAGTGGTTGCTTGATACTTAGGTTTTAAAGAGTTTTAAAACTGGGATCAAGTCAGTTAGTTGGGTTGGACGATCAGGTCAATATGTCTGACTTTGAGTCAGCTAGTTCGAGCGGGGTTGTGGCAGATGCTGGTGACAAGTACGAACGTGCCCCTACCATAGTGATGATGCCCGAGGGGGGCGTTCCGATGGGAGTACCGACTGGAGTTAGTGTAGCTGTCCCAGGGAAAAGTGTTGCCGGCCGAGTGGTTCGAGCAAGAATGGGGGAAGTGGGGAAGACTCTGAAGCAGTTGGTAGTCCGTCTTCATCTAGTAGTGACTCTGAGGAAGAGCCGAGCCAATAGTGCAGTGGGATCTTGACCAAGGATTATCCTCCCGTGCTTAAGGACAGCGATGTGTGGCGCATACAGACTTTGTATCACATTCTGACTTCGATTGAGATTCGGGCGCCACAGTCGTACGAGCTGGTTAATTGGGAAGCACAAGGCTGGGCTAGTGTTTACGAAAAGTGGTTTCACGATGGGTTGAGGTTGCATGTTCCTCACCTCGTCTAGGAGGTGTTGAAACACTTTATGATTGCCCCATCTCAGTTCATGCTGAATGGTTGGAGGTCCTTATGGCCTTGGAGGACCTCTGTATCTAGCACCAGGTGATGCTCGGGCTGCACGAGTTGTTGTACTCATACTTTCTAAAGGAGAATGACAAAGAGAATGGTAGATATCTGATTAACCTGAGGCATGATCGGTCTCACCTGGTGACCGACCTGCGGTCCAGCGACAAGAACTGGAAGGATCGATACTTCTTTGTGAAAGGTCAGGCTGTCTTTGGGGAGAGAGGATAGGGCGACATCCCGAGCAGTTGGAGAGCTATTGGTGAGAACTCTGTTGTTTTTTGTACTTCGATTACTAAATCTTGATTGTGTTTTTTGCTTGTAGAGCTTAAATACAATCGAGCTGAGCAGAGCGGAGACAGCTTGGACGCGGTGACCTAGCGGGTGCTAGCCATTCCAAAGGCGCAGAGGGATTAGCGGGTAGTATTGACAAAGTCCAACCTCAGGACCAGCCATATTTGGGCCGAAGTAGAGGCGATTCAGCGAGGTATTCCCTTTCCTTCGTTGAAGTAGACTTGGGATGTGCTTCTGGCTCGGTACTGTAATCATATCATTTTTGATGAGTCAAGGCTAAACCCACTAACCGTTGGAGAGTTTGCGCTTGCAGAGACACTAATGAAGAAGTTGTCCGTCCCTAGTACGAGCGAGTCCATCGCCCGATGTCGAGAGAAGAGGAGGAGGGAATCCTCGGCCAGGGAGGATAGAAGAGTGGAGGATATGTTGGCAATGTCGCCGAGTCAGCAGCCCGTAACCGGAGCATCCCAAACCGTGGTCATGGATGAAGAGGCCGAGACGATTACTTTCAACATTCCAGCTATTGCATCGACCTATTCTAACTCGACTTCCATGAGCAAGCTGGCCAACTTGTTCTTATTCCCGACGAATGAGGCACGTTTGAACTAGATGGGCGCAGTTGCCACTGCTGACTAGGGGGTATCCTGCGCCTTTCAGGTATGGCAGGAGTTTTGTTTCATTTTGTTCCTAACTTTGGTATTGATGACGGTGTATTGTTGTGCAGGCCTTCATGAGTAGTTTTCATCTAAGGAAGTCTGTGGTGGCGCAGGAGAAGAGGATGTAAGATGTGTCCAAGGCAAACACTAGCTTGCGCTAGAGAGAGGCAACAACCCAGAAGGCTGAGCAAGAGAGTCAGCAGCGTCTGAGGGATTGCGAGCAGTAGCTGTGGGATTACGAGCGTGAGCTAGAGAGAGTGAGGGGTGAGTTGGTTGAGAGGACCATCGAGGTCGAGTCTCTCAGGGAGCAATGTCTTTCCATTGCAGATGATGCTATTATCAAGGCCTAAGGGGAACTCATGCTTGATTATAAGGAAGGGAAGACCTCTCACGGGGATCCGAACGAGGACATCCAGCTCATGTGGGAGATGCTAGATGAGGGAGCTGGTCATACGGAGCGGCAGGTCGAGGAGCAGATACCTGATCTTGCTAGTCAGCCAGGGCCATCAATTGTTGGGGACATGAGTGACCGGGCAGCTGATATGGATGTTGGTGGTGCAGACAAGGCGACCGAGTCGGAGATGGGGGAGACGACTCGTATCGAGGACACTTGGCTTAGTTTTCTTCTGCTTATGTATTTTGAGGCCTGCGATGCCCTTGTTTTTTGCGTGTGTGCCTTTTGTTGTTCTTCGAACTGAGCTGTTTGAAGCTGTATGTATTATACTTAGCTGTTCTCACTTTTGACGCTTTTTTCATGGATGAATGAGTTGTTGATTGCTTCCTATAGATGTACTATATAGTGTTTGTGATTTTAGTGCGACCTAGTGGCTAAGGCATGTGTGCCTTTGTTATGCTAGGTCGGTGATTTCCTAACCAACGCTGTAAGGACCTTTCACTTGGTCTGGCCGACTGAGTATGTGGCTTTGTGGATCGAGCAGGGTCGAACCAAAGGCGTGAGTTTTTAGATCGGGCAGGGCTGATCCGAGGGTATAACTCCACGGATCGAGCAAGGTCGATCCGAGAGTGTGATTCCGTGAATCGAGCGGGATCGATCCGAAGGTGTAAGTTTGTGGATCGGGCAGAGCCAATCCAAAGGTGTAACTTCGTAGATCCGACAGAGCCGATTCGTGAATCGAGTAAGGTCGATTCGAAGGTGTTTTTGTGAACAAAGCAGGGTCGATTCGAAAGTGTTTTCATGAACCAAGCAGGGTCAATTTGAAAGTGATTTCGTGAACCGAGCAGGTCAATTCGAAGGTGTTATCGTGAATCGAGCAGGTTCGATTTGGAGGTGTTATCGTGAACCGAGCAAGGTTGATTTGAAAGTGATTTCGTGAACCAAGTAGGGTCGATTCGAAGGTGTTATCGTGAATCGCGCAGGGTCGATTCAGAGGTGTTATCGTGAATCGAGCAAGGTCGATTCGTAGGTGTTGTCATGAACCGAGCATGGTCGATTCGAAGGTGTTATCGTGAATCGAGCAGGGTTGATTCGAAGGTGTAACAAACAATTGATCGAACAGAGTTGATCTGAGTAATAAAAAATTGTCTGAATAATACTTCATTAATACTTGGTCATGAGGCCGATTGTCTATGAGGAGGTGGATAGGTCCACTCATCCTTTTTAAATACAAACAAAGGAAAAAAGAAAAAAGAAACAAGTTCACCTAGAAGTAGTAGTGTTTGAGGTGAACAACATTCCAGCTGTTGTTGATGTCTTTGCCCTCGGGAGTCTGGAGTTTGTAAGCGCCCTTCCCTACTTCTTTGGTAATCTTGTAGGGACCTTCCCAAGTGGGGCTAAGTTTGCCAGAGTTGATCTCCTTGGTGTTTTGGAAGACCTTGCGGAGCACCCAATCGCCTATCTTGAAAGTTCAGATCCTCACATTGATGTTGTAGTGTCGGGCGGCATGTTGCTGATAGACTACGTTGCGAATGCTCGCCCATTCGCGTAGCTCGTCGATAGTGTCCAAGTTCTGGCAAAGGTTCTGGTTGTTTGTTTCCTCGTTCGCCCATTGGAGCCTGGTGGACGGGACTGATACTTCAGCTGGGATAACTGCTTCAGAACCGTATGTGAGGAAGAAGGGGGTCTCGCCCGTTGACGAGCGAGCCACGGTTCGATATGACCAAAGGACTCCGGGTAGCTCATCTACCCATGCACCCTTTGCTTTTTGTAATCGCTTCTTTAAGGTCTGAATGATGGTCTTATTGGACGACTCAGCCTGGCCGTTAGACTGGGGGTTACGGGGGGTTGAGAAGCTCAGTTTTATTCCCCACATGTCACAGAAATCCCTAAAGCCTGAACTGATGAACTAGGATCCATTGTCAGTGACAATTTCCTTTGGTATCCCGAACCTGCAGATGACATTCTTCCAGATGAAAGCTTTTACCTCTCGATCTCTAACTTGTGCGAAGGCTTCGGCTTCGATCCACTAGGTAAAGTAGTCTGTCACAGCTAACATGAAGACTCGTTGCTTGGGTGCAGTAGGTAGTTTTCTCACTATGTCTATTCCCCACTTCATAAAGGGCCAGGGTGTGAGAATGGAATGGAGTCGCTCCGGTGGGAGCTGTGAGACATGAGCGAACCTCTGACAACTGTCGCACTTCTTCACATAAGCGGTTGAATCGGTACGTATGGTCGGCCAGTAATACCCAGTAGGGATCACCCGGTGTGCAAGACTGCATCCCCCAACATGGTTTCCATATTCGCCTTCATGTAGTTTGGCGAGGACACGTTGGGCCTCTTCTGGGCTTGTGCATTTGAGATAAGGACCCAAGAATGATTTTCTAAGGAGTTGGCCCTCATGTATGGTGAATCTGGCAGCTCTTGCTTTTAATCAACCTGCTTCGTTCTTGTCAGCTGGGAGTTCGTTGTGTTCCAAGTATCTCACTATCGGAGTCATCCAGCAATAAGCTAGTTCAACATCCATTGCCTCATGGGGTGACTTATTTGGTGGTTGTTCCTTCCAATTGGCTGGCCATTGCATGAACAGTAGAGGGATGGATAACTGAGAAGAATATTTGAGCGCTAAGCTAAGGTTGGCGAGGGCGTCAGCATGAGAGTTCTCTGCTCTTGGGACTTGGACTATGGAGAACTCTTCGAATTGGGCCTGTAGTTTCTTGACCATGTTCAAGTAAGTCGTCATCTTCCAGTCGTGTGCTTGGTACGTGCCTTGCAGTTGATTAACCACGAGCTGGGAGTCGGACTTCACCTCTAGTCTCCTGGCTCCAATTTCTTTGGCTAAGGAGAGTCCAGCAATGAGAGCCTCATATTCAGCTTCGTTGTTTGTGCACCTGAACCCACACTGTATTGCCTGCTGGATGATGTCTCCCTTTGGTGAAATCAGTACTAGCTCGAGTCCACTTCCATTCATGTTACTTGAGCCATTAACTAAGAGAGTCCATTTGGAGGGCGGCCCTTCGGTCAAGCATACAACTACTTTTCTGCTTGGGTGGTGGTACTTAGGGTGAAATCAGCAATGAAGTCTGCCAAGCAGTGCGAGGCCAATAGGATATGTCGAACTCACTTAGCTCGACTGTCCACTATGTGAGTCGGCTTGATAGCTCTGGTTTCTGCAGTATCTTCTTGAGGGGGAAAAAGGTGAGTACAACTATGGAGTGGCACTGAAAGTACGGCCTAAGCTTTCTAGATGCATGGATGAGGGCGAGTGCCAGTTTCTCCAACTGACTATACCGCGTTTTTACATCGAGGAGTGACTTACTTACATAGTAGACCGATAGCTGCTTCATCTCTTCTTCCCGAACAAGTACTGTTGAAATTGTTGTCTTTGAGACCGCCAGGTAGGTGTAAAGCTTCTCCCTGTCCACAGGCTTGGAAATGAACGGAGGGGAGGTCAGGTACCTTTTTAGTTGTTGTAGGGCTTCTTCGCAGGTACCTTTCGTGGGGTTTGACTAAAATTAAAGAAAATCTCATTCTCCTCTTCATCGGTTCTCTTTTCAACAGTCTTCATCTCTTCTTCAAATCTTCAACAATTCAACTCTTTTTTCTTCATCTCTTGACTCTTTGAGTCTTGATCTCTTCTTCTCTTCTCTTTTTAACTCTCTTCTCCAAGCTTTAAGTCCAAGACTTCAACTGTTCAAGCCTCAAGCTACACACTTCTTCTCTTCTCTTTTTAACTCTCTTTGAATCTTGTATGCTGGTGATTTGCTTGTGTTTGTGCTGGTGTGTGAGTAGTAGTAATAGGGGCTGGTGGATTGATGGATTTGTTATGTTGGTGGATTGATAGATTTGTTTGAAACATGTTTGATGAAATGCATGTGAGAGTTATATTTGGTATCTGTTTTAACATAATATTTCATTTAGTTTTGTTGTTTTGTGTTGTATGGGTCAAAATGAAAAGACTAAAGATCATTTGTGAAAGCAAAAGGTAAAGGCAAAACTGCAAAAGAAAAGCATGAATTCATAAAAATAATATTGTCGAGCTTGGAATTGGAATTGGCAGATACTTAAAGAAGAAGAAAAACACAACAAACCATCAGCTTGCAACCAACGCCAACTGCAAATTGTAAACCCATGTGCACTCTGTCATGTTTTTAGATTTTATAACACTATTATTATTTGACCTTTGAATGCACTGTCCAATTAAATTCAGAAAATAAAACAACTATACTAATTGGAATCCAAATTTTGTATGTGTAGCTATAAAATTACGGATAAAAATACTAGTTTTAGTTATTGTTCAAATATACTTTAAATAAAAAGGAAAATAAATTGTAGGGTCGACCACAATGTATTATTTAAATCGAGATGTTTTGAAAAGTGCTAAAACCAAGATTGCTATTGCCATATTTTTCAAAATGTATTATTGACAATGTGTCGTATTAAACTCGTAGATATCCATATCGTATTTTTTCCGTATCCGAATTTTATGATTGAATTTTTACAAACGTATTTTTCACCATTTGCCGTATCATACCCGTAAAATTCCCGTACCTTTTTTTTTGCCATACCCGTATTTACTAACTAGGCTCGAAAGAAATCATATGTTTACTTATGACTTAATTGGTTGGAGATTTATTTTTCGTGTCTTATCTTATTAAAAAATTCTAATTTGTTTCGGTTGTGATAGATTCTTTTGAGGAATATATTTTGGTGTGACAGACAAGCCATAGTGGAGTTTTTTCATTGAAATCTTTCTCTCTTTTTTGTGGTTTGAGGGAGTTACTGTTTCTAAATGCTACATTTGGACCTTTTTCCTGTTGAAATGACTTGTTTTTTAAGGTGACACTTTGGAAAACGATAATGCTTGTAGACTCTGCTTTATCAGTTCAATTTGCACCATTCCTAAGGAGCAAACAATGGTAGTAATTTTTGGCAACTTTGAAGAGCTTGTACTAGTTCACCACCTTCATTCAATGCTGTTTTTGTTTGTAACCTTTTTTTGCTCTCAATCTTATTTATCTTAGAGTTTGAGAACGTTACTTTACCTGGGATATTTTTTAGGAAGCCAAAGTTTAATATCATTTAAATTAATTCTCTCTTATTAAGTATCTAATCTATTAGTCAAGTTTTTTGGGTCTCTATTTGTTTATCTATCAATCATCCATGCAGATCAATACCTGCCCCTCATTTTTTAGCGGTAATCAATTGGGAAATTGTGTTTTCGCATACAAGTTGGGTACTTAGGATTTACATGACAAATTTTGATCGTAGAATATTCATTGCACCTTGTCTGCAATCAAAATCTTATTTTATGTTGTATGAGTTATGAATTTTGTGACATCTACAAGGCTTTAGTTATATTTTAACCTTTTTTTTGTTTTTTTTCAATTATGTAACTTTTTTATCGCTTTTATGCATAAGTAGTATTGCCTTAAAAACTGATCAATTTACATGTGTTTTTCATTTTTATTTTCTTTACATATATTATTGTAAATTGAAGGTTGAAGATATTATTTCAAAGTTCAGAGACTTGCATGCCAAACTGTAGATCAAACCTTCTTCTTTCTCGTATGAGAAGCTCATTGCTTATGCTTGTGGTAAGTGCTGTTGAATTATTTTGAAGGAATGGGAATAGTGTGTTGTGGTGATGATGACGACGTTGGAGGAGGTGGTGCCGGGTGGGTTAATTAATGATGGAATATTCATACTAGATTATTTATTAATTAGATATGAATTAAAGTTTTTTAACAAATTTTTCAGTAATTATATATTTGTATTAAAAAGTTAGAAATGCCCATTTATTAATTTTGCTCCAAAGCCTTATATTTATAAAGTGGTGTTTTAAAAACCTACCTAGGTGAAACTCGACAAAATGGCTCGGTCCTGACGGGTCAAACCGGTGACACAGCCTGTCCAGAGGTTTCAAATCTAGCAACGACACCCTTGAAACTATCTCATCACTCCCTACAGGTTTGCAATCTAGCAAACACACCCTTGTCTTTTGGTCAAATGCAATCGAAAATCGAACGTTGGCAATGGTGACACACCAAATGCAAATCCCACTCCATTCCTTAGCAAATTGGCCCAAGATCTGGTTGAAATCGACCAATTTTCCCCAAAAAAAAAAAAACCCATTGCTGGGGTCGACAACCATAGGCCTGTTTCCGACGTCAAAATCACTCTCCATCACCATGAAAACACTCCCTTCAGCCTCTTGACCAAAACCCATCTCACCCTACCCTAGTTCGTCTCACCAATTGCCGACAGCAACGAGCTGTTGCTGACGCGCAATTTTTGAGATTTCCGATCATTTCACTTATCAGAAATCACCTTCGTCCCCACCTTTTGACTTATCGACCCTTCCTCTTCAAAACCTCTAACATCCCAATTGCCAATTGCTCGTTGATCATCGTCTTCCTCTCTAGGGTTTGTCATGAACAGTCAAATAGATAACCCAACCGATGAAGGCCTTGGGCCCCGATTCAACTGGTTCAATCAGTCGGCCTAGGTCGGGCTTTAAAACACTGATATAGAGAGAGGAGAGAGATAATCTTTCTCTTATCATATTTTTAATCATTAGGACTTTTAACTTAAAACATTAGATAATAATAATAATAATAATAATAATAATTCTCTAGTATCGATAGTTCTAGAAAAAAAAATTATATATGGATAAAACCCTGATATTTTAACATAAATTAGATGATGTTAGGGTTTTGGGCGTTCTTTGATTGCTTTTTGAAACTATTGGGGGCAATTTACAGAAAACTTACTTTGCATTACATTACATTCCCACTAACTTGAAAACTTACTTCGCATCCCATAATAATTACAATTTACAGAAATTATCAAAGACATCTATTCTTGTTAAAATTGAGGGTTGACCGTTTTGACTAACGCGATTTCTAAATTATTCATGGTTATAGTTCTGACTTGACCATGTTAGAAATGTTGTTTAATTTTTTTAATTTATGTAAACCAAAAATATTTAAATACTTGTAACTTATTTCAATGGGATTAGCATTTGTGATAGTATTATTCTTAGTGTTGTGCAATAATAAAGCCCTTGCAGCAATCGCTTGTGCTATTGGCTATTACTAATTATAAAAGGAATTATACAGTAGATAATCAAGTATTTAAGCAATGTTTTAAAACCTAGCTTGATCTGGTCGGTTTAACTGGTTCAATCTAGAGTAAGGGCTTCACCGGGCTAGGTTACCAATTTTACTATTCATGACAAACCCTAAAAATTAGAGAGACGATCGGTGAACAATTGGTGGTTAGAATGTTGGCGGTTTTAAAAAGGAAGGGTCGATGAGTCGAAAGGTGGCGACAGAGGTGATTTTCGATGAGTGAAATGACTAGAAATCGCAAAAACAAATCGGCAACAACAGTGGGCTGTTGCCGGTGATTGGCAAGGCAAACAAGTATGGGGTGAGATGGGTTTTGGTTAGGAGGCTGAGGGTAGAGTTTTTGTGGTGATGGATTGGCAACGTTGGAAACATGCCCTATTTGACCTAGGTTGTCGACGCCAGTTGTATAATTTGGAGTGTTTTTGTACGATTTTAAACTTGTAGGGACTTATAAATTTTTCAGGGGCGTTTTTGCTAGATTTCAAACTTTTCTACATACTGACAGTCACTAGTTTGACCAACGAGTCAAACCAGTTCAACCTGTCAGCCCGGGACCCAACCACTTTGTCGGGTTTCACCATGGGCCGGGTTTTAAAACTTTGTATTTAAGTTATTTGATTCTAACAATAATAGAACTCATTCAGCTTTAAAAGACTGTGTTATTCAATCTAGTCGCAGTGCCCAATTGCCCATCAATGTGGGCTTCATACTGTCATTTATCCACGGACTGATATTTGAGGTGTGGAGGGACAAAAATTGAAAAGAAGTGAAAAAAAGATTTTATGTATTAAATCCAATAGAAAAAAAAGAGTCAGATTATAATTTTTTGTAATAAAAGAAAGGACGTTTTGAGTAGTTTTTGCAAGAAGAAAGTTAAAAAGAAAATAAATCAGGTAAGATTTCCTTTTGAATGAGTCCAACCATAGAGTAAAAACACAAGTCATATTTTGTTATTAATTTGAGTTTTTTTTAGTGCATTTCAAAACAGTAAATACACTAAAGATTACAGGAAATAAAAAATTAAAATTAATTTAGTTAAAAATAGGGGTTTATGGTTCTAAAATATACACCCGTTAAGTATTAATTTTTAAAAAACTTATTTTTAGAAACTAATTTTTGGAAATGTAGGAAGCTAACAGATAAAGCCCTCCCAAAACCCCTTCCCTTTGCCCAAAAAAAGAAAGGAAAACTCAGCTCAATCAAATATCAAATGCCGCCTCCCAAAGCCAAACCTTTGAGCTCGCTCTTTCGTTCAGCCATCAAATCAACCGCTAAATCTACAACTAAGCCGTCTTTTCTAGCTATATCTACAAGTAAGCCCTCTATTCTAACTTCACCGTCCGCCACCACCACCGAGGACCGCCTCTCGAAGTTATTCGGCTCCTCTCTTGATTCTAAAGCTGCATTGCCCTCCACTTCCGTCACTAACTTCTCACACTGCTCTCCAAAACTCAATTCTACAGAACCCGCAGGTGACTTTGGTGTCGCTAGGGAGGAACTAGAGGAGGACTCAAGTTCTGGCATTTTTTGTATTCATTTTAATCAGATATTTTTTTTTTTCCAACTTAACAGAAGTAATTTTTAGGTGATTTTAGCATGTTTGAGGTTTTTTTTTTTCTTCTTTTCTCTGGGTATAAGTTTAATTGTTTGGTTGCTGAGACAATCGAAGAAAAGGGATGGGAGGCAACTTAATTTAAAATTTTAGGCTTTTTTTTTTTTTTTTTTTTTGTTTTTTTTTTTTTTTTTTTTTTTTTTGTACCCCAGGTGGTGGGGACTCAGAAAGGCATCCGCAATTATTATTATGATTTTTTTTTTTTTTTTAAATTTCTAGTAAGCCAAACTTTGAAGCAGTAATTGTCAGGCAATTTTGGCTTGTTTATGTTATCTTTTTCGTTGCTAAGAATTTTGAGAGATCAAATGGAGGGCTAATAAAATTGTGGGTTTAATGGTTTATGTTGTTTTGGTTTCTGGGTGGTTGAGGACTCAACTAAGGATTTTTTTTTTCCATGTACTTAGAAGTAGTTGGATTGAACTATGACGGTATTTGATTGGATTTTAATGTTCATGCAGATGATCTACCAAAGCTGCATACAGAGGAGATATTTTCCATACTGCGTGGTATGTTCGTGTAATTTATTGTATAATGAATAAGTTGATGCCATTTTTTTTTTTCCATTTATTTGATTATTGAACAATTTGGAGTTAAAGAAATGAATTGTGTGATGTTACAAAAATTAACTGAACTCACAAGTAATTGTGTTAAGTCCTTTTTTTAATTGAATGTGGAGCTTGTTAGTTGTTATTCAAATTGGTTTCATTTATTCTCTTATTTTGCAGTTGATACTACGGCTAGTTTGCTCAAGTCAGGAGGGACTAATAATGCTAATCCCTTAGAAACTGTATTAGAGATACCATGGATTACTACCATGTCTAACAACAACCTTTCACAACTTCGAAAAGAAGTCTTGCGTGACAGGAAACAAAAATGGATTTTCAAAAATACTCAGACTCATCGTTTTGAAAAGTTAGTGAACCTGTGTGCAAATAAACTGGGGACTGATGCTACTCTTAATGTATTTGGTAGATTGGGGCGAGAAACTGGTGTGAAAGAGTACAATTCGTTAATAAAGATCTGCATTGAGCAGGCTAAGGATTGTGATTCTGAAGATGTTGCACTAGAACAAATTTGCAAGGCTTTCCAACTTTTCAATTTTATGAAGGAGCAGGGTTTTCAGCTAGAAGAGGAAACTTATGGTCCACTTCTTATGTATTTAATTGACATGGGTATGATAGAAGAGTTTCATTTTTTCCGTAAAGCTATTGAAAGTGGAAATTCTCGTTCGGATCCAAGACTAGGTTACTATGAGATGTTGTTGTGGATCAGAGTCAATGATGAAGAGAAGATTCAGGAACTGTGTAACTGCACTGCAATTGATTTTGAGGGAGACTATTTCAACTTGTTAGGCATGTGGTTCAGTGTCATCCTCACTCTCTACCTATTTCTTGTCAATGAGATTTTTTATTTCATTATCGTTTTGGTTTACCCTTTTGTTTTAATAATTGCCTACTTTGCATTACTGGTCTTACAAGATTCAACCCTTGCATTACAGAGAATTACTTGTTAGCACTTTGTGAAAGCAAACGGAATAGTGAATTTTTGCAACTTTTGGAGACTGTGGACATAACAAAGGTTTCCTCGGTGGACCATGTGATGAGTATTTTTAAATTCTTGGGGAGGCTAGTGTTGGAGTCCGTTGCAGAGAAGTGTCTCTTGGCATTAAAAATATCTGGTATGTACATGGTTTTTTCATTTTCCATGATTTGGAAACTTCTTATTAAGCATTTACTAAAGGCTTATTTACATAATCTCTAGATATGTTTGGGGAATTCATATTTGAGTGCAGGAACAATTTTGTTGCTAGTGTAAGTGACAAAGTTTTAGGATAAAAACTAATTGCAGTTGAAAAATAGAAGCGGATCAAGAATCGAGGAGCCTTAAAATAAGTTGCTAAGTTGGTATGAGTGTAGGCAATAAAAGCTGGGCTCTTTTTAACACATAATGTATTGAATAGGATAGAAGCATGCCCTCGGTCTTCCAATTTGGGCCAAGTCATTGGTGTTAATTTTTCCATGATTGTCCATGCCAAAATCTTTACTTTGCTAGCGACTGACTCTAGCTTTCCAAATCAGACTTGAGGAATATAAAATATGGATACAAGATTATCTACTACAGTTTTACAATAGGATCGGTAGAGAACAAGCCATACTTTTCATCATCTATCCAAAGAAGTTATTTGTTTGTTGTAATTTTACAAACATTATTCATATTTAATATCACGATCTTTTAAAATTGTTTCATAACTGTATGTATTCTTTTAACATTATGCAATTATGTAAAGCTTTAATGATATTCAGGATGATTGACTTTGGGTAGTTCATTATGCAATTATTTGCGCTGATGCACCTATGCTGTATCTTTCATATGTATCCTAAACAATTAAGTTCACTTACCTTGTCTGTGGAATATGTAATAGAGCATGTGTAGGGTCTGATGGAAGACTAGGAACTTGTTATTAATAAAGCTATCCATGCTTGGCAAAATTGCAGATTATGGAGCAGAGAATGTCTCAAACGTCATCTTTAGCTACACCTCTAGCATTCCAAATATAGAGGTGAGGAACTTCTCATGAATGTTCCCGGTAATTTTCAAGAGACATGATCCTATGAGACACCCTTAAGTTCGCATGCAGTTTGCTATTTCATTTTAAAAACTTCATTCTACTTTACTTCATATAAAACTTAGGAAACTCATGAGCTGATTGGTTTTCTGGAGGGAAGTTAAAAGTAAAACCCCTTTGGTGTGCTAAATCAAGTAAACGCTAAGTTCTCGAAAGAAATCATTATTTTATTTATGGCTTAACTGGTTGGACTTTTATTTTTCGTATCTTATCTTATTAAGAAATTCTAATTTGTTTCGGTTGTGATAGATTCTTCTGAGGAATATATTTTGGTATGTTAGACAAGCCATAGTGGAGTTTTTTCATTGAAATATTTCTCTCCTTTTTGTGGTTTGAGGGAGTTACTGTTTCTAAATGCTACATTTGGTGAAATGGCTTGTTTTTTAAGGTGACACTTTGGAAAACGATAATGTTTGTAGACTCTGCTTAATCAGTTCAATTTGCACCATTCCTAAGGAGCAAACAATGGAAGAATATAATTTTTGTCAACTTTGAAAAGCTTGTACTAGTTCACCATCTTCAGGCAATACTATTTTTGTTTGTAACCTCTTTTCTTTTCTTTTTTCTTTTTGGCTCTCAATCTTATTTATCTAAAGTTTGAGAAGGTTACTTCACCTGGGACATTTTTGAGGAAGCCAAAGTTTAATATCATTTAAATTGATTCTCTCTTATTAAGTATCCTATTAGTGTATTTTCTGGGCCTCTCTTTGTTTATCTATTAATCATCCATGCTGATAATACCTGCCCCTCATTTTTAATGGTTATCAGTTGGAAATTTTATTTTCGCATACAAGCTGGGTACTTAGGAGTTACATGACAAATTTTTATTGTAGGATGTTCATTGCATCTTGTTTGCAATCAGCATCTTATTTTATGTTGTATGAGTTATGAATTATGTGGCATCTAAAAGGCTTTAGTTTTATATTAACCTTTTTTTTAGTTATGTTACTTTTTTTTCGCTTTTATGCTTAAGCAGTATTGCCTTAAAAACTGATCAATTTACATGTGTTTTTCATTTTTGTTTTCTTTACAATTCTTGTAAATTGAAGGTTGAGGATATTATTTCAAAGTTTAGAGACTTGCATGCCAAGCTGCAGATCAAACCTTCTCTTGCATCATATGAGAAGCTCATTGCTTATACTTGTGATTTAAACAAGGTATGAATCCAATTTCTTTGTAGAAGGAAAAATCTGACTAATTAAAGAAAAAATGACTAAAAAGATTAAAAAATTTGAACATAGTTTTTTTAGGATTATGATGTCGTGTGGATTATTGAAAAATTGTTTTCCTCTCATTCTTTAATGTAATTTTGTAATCATACAGTTTTTGAATTCATACTGCTATTTATATGGCAGAAAAATCAGTGAAACTAATATATGTTTGATTCATTTCAAAGGTGCATGTGGCTCTTGATATAGTTGACGAAATGTTTGAAGCTGGATTGACATCATCCACAAGCACACTAAACTCTATTTTGATTACTTGTGAGGACAACTATGAGTTTACTTTGGTATGTAGGTTTGACTCTGACCATTTTCTTGTGTGTAGTTTTGGGTAGTTGTTATAAATACTTCAGGTTGTTAGGATGTATTAGTAATAAGAAATAAGATTTTAATTGCTGAATTGCTGACAGTGATTTCAAGAGTCTCTGCATTTGTCATGTATAATGATGATGAACTAGTAACAATGTCACGCTACACAAATTCTTTTGTGATGTTTCTGGGTATATTAAAAAGAAAAAATTCCGTGTTTTTGGTCTTCTTTGATATGTAAAATTTTATATATCCATTTTGAACATATGAACAACCAATTTTTATATTGCTTCTTGTAAAAAGTAAATAAATTAATAAACGAAGGAAGTTGGAATGAAAGTGAATCCACCATGTTTTAAATCAAGTAATCCTGAATTGTAGTTCACTGAAATAGTCGTGACTTCTGATGGTTAGCTTAATTTTCTAATTATTGTCATATTACTGATCTCTGTCAACATTGATTTGAGCTATGTTGTAAGGAGATAAAACCATAGGAGATGAGTTGAGCAATGATCTAGGACTCTAGTAGATGTTAGCTAAATTATACTTTTTTGCTATGAAAAATATGCCTTTTCGTCTAAACTATATAGTATTAGTAAAAAAAAAAAAAAAAAAAGAGCCATATATATTCATGCATGTCTAATCATTGGTGTTGTTTGAATCTATTTTTGTTACATTAAATTATTTGTTCTTATTTCAGGTTCAACGAGTCTATTCGATGATCTGCAACCATAACTTGAAGCCAAATAGTGAGACCTTCAGGAGCATGATAAGTTTAAGTGTGAAAATGAAGGATGTAAGTAGTTGCTCATATCTAGCTTGTGTTGATTTTTTTTTTTAATATTGTGATATGCTAAACTCTTAAGTATCCTATGGTTGAAACTTAAACATTATTATGTTGAAATTTTACCGTTCCAATACAGTTTGATGGTGCATATGCAATGCTCGGTGATGTAGAGAAAATGAATTTGATGCCAAATGCAAACATGTACAATGCTATAATGGCTGGGTATTTTCGACAGGTGACTTCTTCACTCTCAATATATGCTATTGAATTCATGATGTTTGTCTCATTTTGTGTTTTGACTTGCTATACGGCTAAATGCACTGTAGAAAGACATGGCTGGTGCGTTAAAGGTGCTTAAACAAATGGAAAAGGCAGATGTGAAACCAAATTCTCAAACTTTCAGCTACCTGATACAAAATTGTAGCAATGAAAAAGATATTGTCAAGGTAGTTTAAGATTCCTGTTTTAACGAAAAGTTTATTTTATCCTTTTGCCTCTGAAGAGTAGATACTATTTTATTGTTATTGATAAACAGTTTTATGATGTTCTTCCATGATTTTTTTTTTTTCTTTTTCCTTTTCATCTTATTGCCAAAAATGGATTTCGCAATAAGTGATGTGATAATTTGGTTGTTTGCTTTTAGTATTATGAAGAAATGACGTGCTCCGGAGTTCAAGTTACAAGGCAAGTCTTCATGGCACTTATTAATGCATATGCATCTTGTGGAGAGTTTGAGAAGGCAAAACAGGTATTGGTGCATGTCACATCTTGATTTTGCTTGAATCCATTGAATGCAAAATTTGTTTCCAATTAGTTATTGGAAATATGAGACTTGTCTGCATGATTTGATTTTATGCTACTGCATATTGGATAAAAACATCTATGCTTATGATAGACTTGCCTGCATGATTTGATTCGATGTTGCTACTGCTTTTGCATAAACATAAAGCATATTCGCCATTTTGTCAGATTATTTTGCTTTATAGAATTAATCCATGGACTCAGATAGTGCGATATACATCTTCACTTGTGCTTAAATCTATTGCATTGCTTTTCTTGATGTAGTTTAGCTAATAGTAAATTATTTTTTTCCCTTAAGGCGTATCTATATTGAACTGTCAATTTATGATAATCTAATGTTTACTATTTTCCATAATAGGTGATCTTAGACAAAGGTATTTCAGTTAAAAGCCTAATTGAAATCAAAGGATCACTTGTCGCAGCTCTTGCATCGAATGGACAAATGTCTGACGCCCTCGTTATATATGAAGAAATCAAGGAAGCTGGATGGAGATTGGAGCCTAAAGCTGCCATAGCTCTTATTGTAAGTTTTATATAGAGATATTTTATGTTTTAAGTTTTGTCAATGCAATGACAATATCTATTCTTATCTTAGGAGCACCTCCATTCTGAAGAAGAGTTGAGTAGATTGATTCAGCTATTGGAGGAATTGGATGATTTGGACTATTGGACGGATGGTTGCTGTAGACTGATCTTGCACTCCGTTCGATTGAAGCGCTTAAGGTCCAGATACAAAACTCATTTTTTTTTATTTCTAAATTTACTTAGCCAATTTGCTTATGTTGATCTTCTTTCATTCTAGCTCTGCGATTCCTTTGCTTAAGCAACTCAAGGATAAAATCAACAATGATGAATTTATTACAGAATTCTTTTTGGTTGAGGTTTGCTCCTATTCTTTTCTTGTCCCATTTGTAATATAGTCTGTTTGCTCTAAATACATACATTGTTGGTCAGCAGGATTATTGTGGTTGGTTGGAAGACATATTTTAGTAATAGTAATATCATATATGCAAACTTTTAATACCTGTTCGTTTCCATGTTTATCAATGAATATGCAAATATCAATGTCTCTACTTAGAATATTGTAATGTCTAGATTTTCTTTGTATATTTATGTTATGATTATGAATTAATGTGATGAACCTTGTATTTTGTCCTTTCATTTTTATGACTCTGTAGGTATTCTCCCTAATAGCGGAATCAGAGCCTACTGATTTACAAATTGGCTTAGACTTGCTTCGGATCATTAAGAATGAATTTGACCTTGCTCCACCACGTAAATGTCTTGATATTTTTCTCAGTGTTTGTGTGAATGCGAAAAATCTACAAATTTCTCGTTCGATTTGGAAAGAATATGAGACAGCTGGTCTACCTTACAATGTTTTTAGTTATTTAAGGTAAGATATGCTTGTTCATTTTTTTATGTTTATGTTTTTTATGAATAATGAGAGTTTTATCTTTCTCCATAACTTATAATCAGGATGTTTTTCCAATTGTTTGCAGGATGTATCAAGCCCTTTTGGCTTCAGGTGATCATCAGTATGCAAGGAAAATACTTACTAAAATTCCAAAAGACGATCCCCATGTCTGTATGGGGATCAAAGCATGTAAATCAACTTACAATACCCAGCAGCATGTAAAAGTAAAGGAAAAGGAAAAGAAAAAGAAAAAGAAAGAAAAGAAAGAATGATTGATATATTTATTGATAAATTCTCCAATCATTCATTGTGTAGGAAAGAAAGAAGAAAAAAGATTGATATAAACTTGGTTATTGATAAATCCTCTAACCATTTATTGTATATCAACACGACCAATTAATTAATTCATTTTCTTTGAAAATTGAAGTTGTCTCACCTTACCTATTCCCAAACTTTTCAAAGCAGTGGAAATTACAGGTTAGAGATGGAGTACTCGTAATTGATAGAATTTTGATACACCCATTTGCGAATCATGTGTATATAATATTGTTCAAAAAGAATTAGCAATAAGTACGGCTTGTCTGCAGCGAGCCTTAGCTTGCTCAAGTCTTTCACCCAAAGTCTCTTCTTTAACAGCAGCTTTCACCATGGCCAAATCCATCTGCATCAACCTCAAAACTCTAGACAACTCTATCACCATTCTATCCTCAACTTTCCCTTCATCTCTCAACAATTCTGCCTCTTCTCTCGCTCTCTCCGCCACTATCTCTCCTGCTTTCTCTAGAAGCGTTGTGGAGCCATAATCTCTCTCCATCAACTCCTGCAACTTCTCCAAGAAGTCCATTATCTCATACCCTATTGGCTTATCCAAGTTTATCTCTTTGGTTCTTCTCCAACCCACTTCGAAGTTTGGTGGTTCTGGCTTCACAAGACCTGCTTTTGACTTTCTCTCCCGGAGTATCTCAGATTTTCTTCTATTTTCGATGGGGAAAGACTCAGGGCTGGTGGTGGCCACTGAGTTTAGAGATGGAGAAGGGAAATCTTGGGGTTGTTTACCATCATCTGGGTTGGGGGTTAAGTTGTTTGAAGTGGTACTGCATTTGATGGATAAGTGGGTTTTGGGTAATTGGTTATGGAGGACAAGTTTTGATGGGATGGGATGGTTGAGGTGAGCAGAGCTTGGTTGAGAAAGACAGTGAAGGAGTGTGGACGTGGATGCCATGGGAGCTTTAAAGCTACAAGAAATGTGAAAAGCAAGAAGAAGATAAGATATTTGTAAGCTTTTTGTGTTGATAGTTTTGGATGGAAAGAAACAAAATAATGAAAAAATAGCTACCAATTAAATATATTCTCTATTAAAGAATTCCTCCGATTAACAACTTATTTTAATTAGAGTAAAAGACATTTTCCCACTCAAGGCTTAGTGAAATGAATTTCCCACCCAAAAAGTTTCAAAACAACATTTTTGCACCCACCGTTATGTTCCGTTAATAAATTCTGTTAACTACAGTATATATTCTTTGTAAAGACAAAAACACCCTTTACTATTTGACTTAATAATCTTTTTATTATTTAATGTCATGTCAACAGTCATTTATACCCACCCTTTAAATATAAAATTACTGAAATATATGAGGATTAAATTACTAATTTGTTATTTAAATAATGCTTTCAGATTTTTAAAATTACTATTTTGTCCCTGTGTTTGCTACAACTTAAACTAGCATTTATATATAAGAAATTTTGTCAATTTAAACGCAATAAAACTAAGTCTTAGCATAACTGATTTGCTTAAATAAGAATTCATATTGCAAAATTATAGTGCATAACCTAATCATTTTGTCAATTCAGATCCAATAAAAATAGGGATTTAGGATTATGATGTCGTGTGAATAATTGAAAATTTATTTTCCCTCCCTCATTTTTTAATTAATTGTGTAATCATGCAGCTTTTTAATTCTTATTGCTATTTATTTGACAATAAATTATAGTATAACTAATATATGTTTGATTTATTTCAAAGGAGGTTGACGCTATTGACAAAATTGAAGAATTTTTGGATGAAATTTTTGGAGCTAGATCGACATTATCCACAAGCACACTAAACTCTATTTTGATTGCTTGTGAGGATGAGGACGTGAATGAATTGGTATGTAGGTTTGACTCTGACCGTTTTCTTCTATGCAGTTTAGGGTTATAAATACTTATTTCAGGTTCTTAGGACACACGATTTTAATAGCTGAATTGTTGACAGTGATTTCAAGAGTCTTTGTATTTGTCATGTATAAAATTCATTTTTTTGGTCTTCTTTGATATGTGAAATTTTAGGGTGTGTTTGTTTTGATACTTTGGATAGGATTTTTGAAATAGTATTTGTAAGTGGAGTTGGGTGATTATTATAAGGTAAAATTTAAAAATTAACAAAAAAATTCCCCTAGATTTGCTAATTTAATTAAACACCCCAATATATAAAAATTTTATAAAATAACAAAAACACTCCCACCAACCCACAGTGCCAGATTTCGGCCAACATCGTCGAAATTGATTGGAATCTAGTATTATGGCACAGACAGGTCGGATCTGGCCGGTCGTGCGTCGATGTGGCCTTTTCTAGCCAATTCCGATCGTTAGTACGCTGTTGTGACAGATTTCGACCACCACCGATAGTGGTTGCTAGAATCTGGCAACTATAGGTGGATAGGGGTGTTTTTTTAATTTATAAAATTTTTTGTTGGGGGTGCTTTTGTCAATAAACAAACTTAAGGGGTTTAAATTTTTTTAATTTAGGATAGGATTTTGAAAATAAGAAAACAAACATACATTTATATTTGGAATAATGATAAATAATGAAACAAACGAACCCTTAAATATCCAGTTTGAACATATAAACAACCAATTTTTATATAGCCTCTTATAAAAAAAAAATAATAATAAACAAAGAAATAGTAGGAGTGAAAGTGAATCCACCATGTTTGAAATCAAGTAATCCTGAACTCTAGTTCACTGGAATTGTTGTGACTTCTGATGGTTAGCTTCATTGTCTAATTATTGTCATATAACTGATCTTTGTTGGTGCACCACATTGATCCAAGCGATGATGTAAGGAGATAAAACCAGAGGAGATGAGTCGAGCAATGATCTAGGGCTCTAGTAGGTGTTAGCTAAATTATACTCCTTTGCTACGAAAAATGTGCCTTTTAGTCTAAACTATATAGTATTAGTGAAAAATAAATGAATAAATAAAAAGAAGAAGAAAACCCATATATATTCATGCATGGCTAATCCTTGGTGTTGTTTGAATGTATTTCTGTTGTGTTTAATTATTTGTTCTTATTTCAGGTTCAGCTATGTCAGGTTCAGCGAATCTATTCGGTGATCTGCCTCCATAACTTGAAGCCAAATAGTGAGACCTTCAGGAGCATGATACGTTTATGTGTAAGAAGGGAAGATGTAAGTAGCTGCTCATATCTAGCTTGTGTTGATTTTTATTTAAATTGTGATATGCTAAACACTTAAGTATCCTAATGGTTGAAACTTAAACATATACCAGTTTATGTTGAAACTTTACATGGTGCATACGCAATGCTCGGTGATGTAAAGAAAATGAATTTGATGGTAACTGCAGACATGTACAATGCTATAATGGCTGGCTATTTTCGACAGGTGACTTCTTCGCTCTCAATATATGCTATTGAATTTATGATGTTTGTCTCATTTTGTGTTTTGACTAACTATATGGCTAAATGCGCTGTAGAAAGACACGGATGGTACGTTAAAGGTGCTTAAACAAATGGAAAAGGCAGATGTGAAACCAAATTCTCAAACTTTCAGCTACCTGATACAAAATTGTAGCAATGAAAAAGATATTATCAAGGTAGTTTAAGATTCTTGTTTAAACGAAAAGTTCATTCTGTCCTTTTACCTATGAAGAGTAGATATTATTTTATTGTTATTGATAAACAGTTTTATGATTTTCTCCTAGGAATGTTTTTTTTTTCTTTTTTTCTTTTTCCTTTTCATCTTATTGCCAAAGATGGATTTCGCAGTACGTGATGTGATAATTTTGTTGTTTGCTTTTAGTATTATCACGGAATGACGTGCTTCGGAGTTCAAGTTACAAAGGGCGTCTTCAAGGCACTTATTAATGCATATGCATCTTGTGGAGAGTTTGAGAAGGCAAAACAGGTATTGGTGCATGCCATATCTTGATTTTGCTTGAATCCATTGAATGCAGAAGTTGTTTCCAATTAGTTATCGGAAATATGAGACTTGCCTGCATGATTTGATTTTTATGTTGCTGCTTATTGGATAAAAACATCTATGCTTATGATAGACTAGTCTGCATGCTTGATTCGATGCTGCTACTGCTTCTGGATAAACACAAATCATCTTCTCCATTTTGTTACTTTATACAATTAATCCATGGACTCAGATGGTGCGATATACATCTTCACTTGTGCTTAAATCAATTGTATTGCTCTTCTTGATGTAGTTTAGCTAATAGTAAATTATTTTTTTCCCTGAAGGTGTATCTGGATTGAATTGTCAATTTATGATAATCTAATGTATACTATTTTCCATAATAGGTGATCTTAGACAAAGGTATTCCAGTTCAAAGCCTACATAAAATTAAAGGATCACTTGTTGCAACTCTTGCATCGAATGGACAACTGTTTGACGCCTTCGTCATATATGAAGAAATTAAGCAAGCTGGATGGAGATTGGAGCCTAAAGCTATCAGAGCTCTTATCGTAAGTTTTATATAAAGATATTTTGTATTTTATGTTTTGTAAATGCAATGACAACATCTTTTCTTATCTTAGGAGCAACTCCATTCTGAAGAAGATTTGAGTAGATCGATTCAGCTATTGGAGGAATTGGGTGATCCAAAGGATTGGATGTATTGTTGCCATAGACTGATCTTGCACTGTGTTCGATTGAAGCACTTAAGGTCCAGATACAAAACTCATTATTTTTTATTTTTCAATCAATTTGCTTAACCAGTTTGCTCATGTTGATCTTCTTTTATTCTAGCTCTGCGATTGCTTTGCTTAAGCAACTCAATGATTATGATGATGAATTGGCTGGAGACGTCTTGTTTCGTGAGGTTTGCTCCTTTTCTTTTCTTGTCCATTTGTAATATTGCTCTAAATAAAAACATTGTTGGTCAGCAGATTGGTTGGTTGGAAAACATATTATAGTAATAGTATATGCAAACTTATAATATCTATCCGTTTCCATGTTTATCAATGAGTATGCTAATATCATGTGTATACTTAGAATATTGTAAAATATAAATTTTCTTTGTATATTTAAGGTATGATTATGAATGAATGTGATGAATCTTGTATTTTGTCATTTCAATTTTATGACTATGTAGGTATTTCATCTCATAGAGGAAACAGAGCCTCCCGATTTACAATTTGGCTTAGACTTGCTTCGGTTCATTAAGAATGAACTTCACTTTGCTCTATCATATGAGTGGCTTCGGTCTCTTCGCAGCATTTTTGTGAAAGAGAAAAATATACAAATTTCTCGTTTGATTTGGAAAGAATTTGTGACAACAGATTACAGTTATTACAGTTATTTATGGTAAGATATGCTTGTTCCTATTTTTATGTTTATGTTTTTCATGAATAATGAGAGTTTTATCTTTCTCCATAACTTATAATAGGATGGTTTTTAATTTTTTGCAGCATGTATGAAGACCTTCTGATTTCAGGTGATCATCAGGGTGCATGGAAAATAATTAGTAAAATTCCAAAAGGCGATTCGGATACCAATGAGCTGATCAATGCTATCCAGGAGGTGGGCAAGGCCTGGCGACGCCTCTCTCTGGGCTCGACCCAGGGGCCCAAGGGGGATGAGTTGACCCCACTCCTATCCCACCCCGAATTCGGGGATTTTGCGGGGGAAATTCCCCACATGCCTTAATTTATTATTATTTTTTCAGTAACTTTTTCTTTTAAAAGTATTGTAATGTATTTTCACTCTTTAGTAACCATGAAAAGATTTGTATAATTATGGTCTTACTTTTATTCTATTTATTTTTTAACTCAAATTTTTTATTTTCAAGAATACACACACACACACACACACACACACACACACATATATGGATGATTATTAATAAAACTGCATACAAAAAAATATACATATTAACATTTACATATATATTACGTAATTATATAAATATATAAATTGAATCACAATAACATAAAATCATTTCTTTAAAAAAATTAAATCAATTGCATTGATTTTCTTGATGTAGTTTAGCTAATAGTAAATTATTTTTTTCCCTGAAGGTGTATCTGGATTGAATTGTCAATTTATGATAATCTAATGTATACTATTTTTTCATCCATAATAAGTGATCTTAGACAAAGGTATTCCAGTTCAAAGCCTAAATGAAATTAAAGGATCACTTGTTGCAACTCTTGCATCGAATAGACAAATGTGTGATGCCTTCGTCATATGGAAATAATATGTCTTAATTTGCATCTGAATATTTAAAAATACCTTTGATGATTGATTATAATTCCATGATTACAGGATTATCTCTTTATTTTATTTTATAATTAAAGATATTTATTAATGGATTTCAAGATCTATAATTAACTTATTTTTAAATCTTTATTATAAATTTACTTTTTTAAGACTCTCCTCATTTGAAAAATAATAAGCCTTATAATTCACTTTTAATTCTTGTCTCTTGATCTACATAATAACATACTTTTTGAATTAAAATAGGGAAAAATAATTTTACGTTTAGACTTTTGTACCGGATATGTATACCACTGTGCACTACGCGGCTCAAATAGACAATGAATCCAATTTGGCTCACTTCTTGTATGTTGGTCCATCATCTATCAAAGATTTGACAGTTAAATGTGAAACTGCCGTCCATGTGATCCTCAAAAACAGAAGTTTTAGACCTTTTAAAGCGTTGTTAGGATGGCTTCGACAAAAAAAGCGATCCTGAACTGGGAGGATGGAGATGGCAACAACACCTTATGTTTATTTGTTTCTTTATTTTGGGCTTCGGCCTGGGGCCTACAGCATGGGTCGGGTCAACAGGTACATAGTTTATACTTTTGGTTTTAAAATATTGACACAATTTTTTTAATCATCAATATATTATAACATGATGATTGTGAGAGAGAAAGTTGAAAATATGAATTGACTTTAATTAATATTATCTTTAAAATATAATTCAATTTTAAAACCAACAAATTGTCTGTCAATAAGATTATCCTTATTATAGAATAATTAAAATTTTCATGAATTTCTTTTAGAGAATACTGAATTTTATATACTACTAACTTTATTTTTAAGAACTTTTCCCCACTAAAACTTAATAATTCAATTAAATATTTTTATTATTATTAAATTTCGGTGACATCTGGCCATCCAATTTAATCAACGTGAATCTTGTATGGGCCACGGCCATTGCCGGCCATCGTCATCTACAGCTGGAAGTCGTTGGAAATCGTCGGGAGTCACTAGGAGGCTCTCAAAAATGACTAAAATGGAGTAGATCTGGCCATTTCCGGCCAAATCGATGGATTTGGTTGTTAATGGCCATATCTTGCCCAGATATGGTCGTTAAAGGCCATGAATTTGACCGAAAATGACCATAATAGATCTGGCTATGAAAAGGCCAAATCTTTGGTCGTAAAACGGCGACCATTTCACGGCCACATCTTTAGCCGTGAAACAGCTAGATTTGGTCGTTTCCAACCATCCATGGCCGAAAACGTCCTTTTCGGCACACAACCAACAAGATCCTACCAGTTTTGTGCCAATATGATGACTTTTGTTGGCAGCCAGCAGTAGTGGCTAGAGGCCGGCAGTGGTCTTGGGTGGGTAGGGGTATTTTATTAACTTTTAAACTTTTTTTGTGACGGGGGTGTTTTAGCTAAATTCTCAAATGTAAAGGGTCTGAGCGATTGTTATTTGGTAGACATATGAGGGCAAATGTGTCTGAAATGATAAAAGATTAAGGGCAAAATAGGGTCAAAATTAAGATTACCTCGGTAATCTTATATTAACACCCCTTAGAAAGGTAATATGATTACCTCCAATATTACCAACAGTAAACACTATTTGTAATAAAGGGTTACATAATCTTTTATTACTTGATAACCAAATGAGGGAATCTTGAAAATTAAACAAAGATTACAAGATTAATCTCATGTCACCCCGAACCAAATGCTACCTAAATTGTTTTTAAAACAAGGGCATTATTGTCCATAAATTTTATTAATAAGGGATAAAATTATAACAAAACTAAGATAATCAAGTAATCTTATAATACCTAAAAAAATGGAGGTTATCAAATTACCTCCAATATTACCAATAGTAACTACTATCAGGGCGTTTGGTTAGGGGTTATATGGGATTTGTGGAGTTCAGTCATCTTATATTACTTGATTACCATGTTTGGTTGTCAAGTAATATAAGATACTGATAATCTTCAAATACCAATAGTAGTTACTATTAGTAATTTTCTTAGGTATTGTAAGATTACTTAGGTAATCTTTTCTTTTGTTACGATTCTATCCTTTATTAATAAAATTTTATGACAGTAACTCCTTAATTTTTAATTTTATTTACATGAATCTTGCTTTTACCATTTGACCCCAATTAATTAACTTTCTAGACAAAATTACCCTTGAAATCAAAACAAATTTTAGCTTACCCAAGTCGCCATCCCCACCCACTTGCTACCGCCTGACACCAGCCAAACCACCACGACCGCCGGAAGTCACCTAGAGTCGCCGTGAGCAACCCACCGTGAGCGAGAGGCCTCGATATGGCCATTCCGGCCATATTGATGGAGAGAGGCCATATCGAGAGCAAATATAATCGAAAATAGCCAGATCTATTTTGGCCATTTCCAACCAAATTGATGAGTCTAGCAGTTAACGACTAGATTGACGGGTCTAGCCGTTAACAGCCATACCCTTGGCCTTTTTCAGCCAGATCTAGGCGAGATCTAGCCGATAAAGATCAACCCATCAATCTTGCCGATAAAGGTCAAGGGTCCAGCCGATCTGGCTGATAAAGGTCAAGGGTCTGGCCGTTAATGGCTAGACCCATCTACTCCCGATATGACATTTTCGGCCATCAATATGGAAAAAAAATGGCCATATAGAGGCCTCCCGGTCATGGTGGGATGCTCATGGCGACTCCAGGTGACTTTCGACAGTGGTTTGCGATGGTGGCAGGTTGGTGGGGGTGAGTTTGTTATAAATTAAAGTTTTATATAAGAGGGGGTGTTTTAGTTAAATTTGAAATATTGGGGGTTAAAATAAATTATTTAAAAATTAATAATAAAAATAATACTATATTAATATTTAAAAAGAGGGCAATTTAGTAATTTAAATAATATACCCACCAATTTATTCCTCTTAACCAAACATACTAATATAACATACCTACCAATTTATTCCAACTAACCAAACACATTTTCTTAAAGATTCACAATAATCTTCAAGGTAATATAATATTTCAGTAATCCAACATTCCCAGTAATCTAACATTCTTTGAACCAAACGCACCCTATTAGTATTGAAAGATTACTGGAATCTTATAATACTTGACAATCAAATGTGGTAATCAAGTAATATAAGATGATATTGCCTCAGTAATCCCATATAACCACCAATCACCCGCTCCCATAAAGTTAAATTGTATTTGTAATCATGGAATTCTCAAATCTTTGGTTGGATTCCATCTTTTTTAGGGCTTTGGTAGGGTTTTGAGAGGGTTTCCAACCTTGAGTTTTTGCCCTAGGGTCTTGGTGGTGGTTTTAAAATTGGGTTTTTATTTATCAAGGGAAGATGCTTGGAAAGCAGCAAGCACAAATGTTGATTGACAAAAAAAACAAACAAAAAGACATAATTTTACACATTTTAAGTTGCATCCTAATAGAGTAATGCTATATCTGCAACTCAATCTCACAACCTTTTTTTACAACCCTAATATGGTAGTTGAGTGGCACTGTCACGTCAACTCCTATCATGCCCAAGACATTAAATGATTTTAACTAAACACATCGTTTCTTGGGGACGAATGTTGTTCTTTATGAAAGGAACGATCGTTCATCTCTAAGAAGCGGTCGTTTGTCTCTAAAGAATGATTGTTCCTTATGAAAGGAACGGTCATTCGTCACTAAGGAACAACCGTTCGTCTCTACGGAATGATCGTTTATGTTTAGTCAAAGTCGTCAGTTAACATAATAGTGTTAACCCTGTTGCCACATTAGGGTTGTAAGAGAAGGTTGGGAGATTGATTGTAAACTTAGTATTTTTCATCCCAATATTGTCCATTGATTCTATATGGTGTAATATAAACTTTTTACCACTTTTATTTGGACACAGAGTCGAGAGTGTAGTTATTTCCTATATTAATTTTTATTTTTTTATTTGTTTTAAAAAATTAGGCAAGAAATCATGAATAAAAGATATTCTCTTTCAACTAAGGAAAATTGAAATTTTGCTTAATTTGAACGGGAATTAAATTAGATGAATTTTTAAAATGGAGAAAATCTTCGTATTTGAATTTTTTATTAATACTTAAGGCGAAAAACAAATGAATATATAAATAGAAGAGATTTTCTGTTAAATATAGCTTAAAAGAATTGAGTGGTATTATTCAAACCACAATTCAACTAAAATCAAACTTCAAATAAACATTAACTTATTTTGTAAAAGGATAAGTATTAATTAAAATAGAGTATATAGATTTTAAAAAGGTATTTTTTGGAATAATTTATAAAACCTAATTTTATTGATAATTTTTGGTTTAGAATTCAGTGGGGACTTATATAATACCACAGTCACAACCGAAGTCGCTCAAGTCTGCAGACCCTCCACAGCCACACCCTCCTCGTTCAGGCCTATCAATGAGGTAAAAAGACTTAGAAGAGTTGTTTTTCTTTTCTTTTGAATTTATTTGTTTTAAATATAAGGGCATTATTGTCCAAAAACTTAATTGAACAAGGGTAAAATTGTAATGGTGGATTGATGTAAATTGTTTTTAAAACAATGGCATTATTGTCCATAAATTTTATTAATAAGGGATAAAATTATAACAAAAATAAGATAACAAAGTAATCTTATAATACCTAAGAAAATGAAGATTAGCATATTGCTTCCAATATTACCAACAGTAATTATTATGGGGGCATTTGGTTAGAGGTTATATGGGATTTATGGAGTTAAGTCATCTTATATTACTTGATTACCATGTTTGGCTGTCAAGTAATATAAGATATCGATAATCTTTAAACATCAATAGTGGTTACTATTGGTAATATTAGAGATAATATGATTACCTCCATTTTCTTAGGTATTGTAAGATTACTTGGGTAATCTTTTTTTTTTTTTTTTTTGTTATAATTCTATCACTTATTAATAAAATTTTAGGACAATAATGCCCTTATTTTTAAATTTATTTACATGAATCTTGCTTTTACTATTTGACCCCAATTAATTAACTTTTTCGACAAAATTACCTTTGAAATCAAAACAAATTTCAGCTTACCGAAGCCACCACCCCACCCACCTGCTGCCGCCTGATGCAAGCCAAACCACCGTCGACCGCCATGGGAAGTCGCCGAAAGTCACCTGGAGTCGCCGTGAGCAGCCCACTGTGACCGAGAGGCCCCGATATGGCCTTTTCGGCCATCAATATAGCCAGAAACAGCCATATCGAGAGTAGATCTGGCCGTTAACGACCAGATTGATAGGTATGGCCATTAACAACCAGACCCTTGGCCTTTTTCAGCTAGATCGATAAAGGTCAAGGGTCTGGCCGTTAATCTAGCCAGAAATGGCCAGAATAGATCTGGCCATTTCTGGCAAGATCTGCTCCCAATATGGCCTTTTTGGCCTCAATATGGCAAAAAATGGTCATATCGAGGCCTCCCAGTCATGATGGAATGCTCACGGTGACTCCAGGTGACTTCCAAAGGTGGTTTGCGGTGGCAGTAGGCGACGACAGGGTGGTGGGGTTGAGTTTGTTATAAATTAAAGTTTTATATAAACGGAGGTATTTTAGCTAAATTTGAAATATTGGGGGTTAAAAGATATCATTTAAAAATTAATAATAAAAATAATATTATATTAATATTTAAAAAGAGGGCAATTTAGTAATTTAAATAATATACCCACCAATTTATTCCTCCTAACCAAACATATTAATATAATATACCTACTAATTTATTCTAACTAACAAAACACATTTTCTTAAAGATTCCCAGTAATCTTCAAGATAATATAGGATTCCAGTAATCCAACATTCCCTAAATCAAACGCACTCTATTAGTATTGAAAGATTATCGGAATCTTATATTATTTGACAACCAAACGTGGTAATCAAGTAATATAAGATGACGTTACCTTAGTAATCACATATAACCTACAACCAACTGCTCCCATAGAGTTAAGTTGTATTTGTAATCATGGAATTCTCAAATCTTTGGTTGGATTCCATCTTTTTTAGGGCTTTGAGAGGGTTTCCAAACTTGAGTTTTTGCTATAGAGTCTTGGTGGTGGTTCAAAAAATGGGTTTTTATTTATCAAGGGAAGATGCTTAGAAAGCAGTAGGCACAAATGTTGATTGACAAAAAAAACAAACAAAAAGACATAATTTTACACGTTTTAAGTTGCATCCTAATAGAGCAGTGCTATATTTGCAACTCAATCTCACAACCTTTTTTTACAACCCTAATGTGGTAGCTAAGTGGCACAATCATGTCAACTCTCACCACACCCAAGGCATTAAATGACTTTAACTAAACACGTCGTTTCTTGGGGACGAACATTACTCCTTATGAAATGAATGATCGTTCGTCTCTAAGGAGCAGTCGTTTGTCTCTAAGGAATGATTGTTCCTTATGAAAGGAACGGTCATTCGTCACTAAGGAACAACCATTCGTCTCGATAGAATGACCGTTCATGTTTAGTCAAAGTCGTCAGTTGACATAATAGTATTAACCTTGTTACCACGTTAGAGTTGTAAGAGAAGATTGGGAGATTGGATTGTAAACATAGTATTTTCTATCCCAATATTGTCCATTAATTCTATATGATGTATTATAAACTTTTTACCACTTTTATTTGGACACAGAACCAACAGTGTAGTTATTTGCTATATTAATTTTTATTTTTTTATTTGTTTTAAGAAATTAGGCAAGAAATCATGAATAAAAGATATTTCCTTTCAACTAAGGAAAATTGAATTTTTGCTTAATTTGAATGGGAATTAAATTAGATGAATTTTTAAAATGGAGAAAATCTTCGTATTCGAATTTTTTATTAATACTTAAGGCGAAAAACAAATGAATATATAAATAGAAGAGATTTTCTGTTAAATATAGCTTAAAAGAATTGAGTGGTATTATTCAAACCCCAATTCAAATAAAATCAAACTTCAAAAAAACATTAACTTATTTGTAAAAGGATAAGTAGTAATTAAAATAGAGTATATAGATTTTAAAAAGGTATTTTTTTTTTTTTTTGGGAATAATTTATAAAACCTAATTTTATTGATAATTTTTGGTTTAGAATTTAGTGGGGACTTATATAATACCACAGTCACAGCCGAAGCCACTCAAGTCTCCAGACCCTCCACAGCCACACCCTCCTCGTTCAGGCTTATCAGTGAGGTAAAAAGACTTAGAAGAGTTGTTTTTCTTCTCTTTTGAATTTATTTGATTGTCATTGAAATAAATTCTTACTCGTGATATCCATGGCGAGACACAATATCATTAAAATCCTGTACATGGGATTTCATATCAAAAGCGTATAAATATTTGTTTTATTGAATCTGATTTCAAGGATTGAGAGTTATAGATACATGTAAGTTTTATATAGATGTGATCTATGTGATAAGTGGGGTTGTAACCTACCAAATTCAATTATTGCATGTTTATTACTTTGATATTGGGAATTATATGGGATCTTTTTAATTGATGTCTGTATACTAAATTATTAGTTTGTGATATTAGTGCCCATCAGTTTTTTTAAGAGAGTAGAGGGAAGATGGTGAGAAGTGGGGCATTGGGAGCTTACAGAGATTTGATTAGACTCACAAGGTATTCATTTTTGACAATCTACGGAAGAAATATGTAAGAGATTCAACAAGAATCGCTATGTTAATTTTGATACCGAGATCCAGAAACTCCTTGAACATGCATGTTTATTCTCTCTTCGGATCAAATCTTTGATTGTCCAAGCTGAACTCAATCAAAGTGATGGCTATCGGTACGCTACTCATATTCCTTTTTATCTGTTCTGTGAGACAACATTTTAATACTTCGACCTTGCAAGAGAAATTAATTTAACCCTTAATTTTTTAATGCTAATAATGGTTGATGCAGAACTGAAGCCTAAAGTGAAGCTGCTGGAGCCACACGTGAGATCCCTTCTAGAGAAAGCCTCGAAGCTTCGTCGGAGGAGTTATATTGAAAGTCTGGATAACTAGTAATTTTTTAGTTCTAGTGAGTGACCAAATTGCTCCTCATCGCTGGTCCAATTCTACAAATGGTCGAAAAAAAAAAAAAAATTTGAGATTGGTTTTTGATTGAAAATGATGGGATCATAAAGTTTGGAACTTTGTTTAATTTGTAAGTTTTCATGTAAAATTTAATTATAATTCCACAATTAGGCACAATGATCACTATTAGATGCATCAACACAAAATGAAGAACCATCACCCAGAAAGAGAGATCTGTTTCCGAAATCATCAATTTCTCTCCAAGTGTCAGTTTCAACATCCACTTGTAAAATCCGAAATGCATACGTTTTCAAGTTTCCCATTCCTAGTCGTATTACCACTGGGAGCGATCCTCCTGATTCTACTATATTCACGTATCTCTTCCGCCGCCCTTTATATTTTTCTATCCTTTCTGCCTTCACCGTAACCGGCACTGCTGTTCAAGTTGAAGCTCCGGTTGGAATATCACAAACTGTTATGTGACCAGGAATTAATATCTATACCATAAAACCCTAAAATTATTTGACAGTAAGCCCAATTAGTAAATGGGTTTAGAATTGATTTGCAAATATTGGAGTCTAGGTTGGGCTAGATCAGGTTAGATTTACTATTAATGCATATTATAGTAGTAGAGAAACTTAATGTGAGAAAAATATTATGAGAGAAGAGAGAAAGAGTGAATGGCCGTCACTGCTATTGTATTGTATTGATGCAAATTTCTGAAACTCAGTAAAATTTTCTACATTATCTTGAGTGCTGAACTTAGTTCTTATATGCGTAACGAATCAGGGTAAATTGATCTTCTTCTTCACTTTTCTAGTTCATTATTCCGTGTGTTTTGAGGTTATTTTTCAACACAGAATCCCTTCCCATTGTCCAAAAAAAACGAAACTCAACCAAAATCAAATGCCACGCACCAAAGCTAAAAATTTGAGTTCGCTCCTTCAGTCAGCCCTTAAATCCACCACTAAATTTACACCAAAGCCCTCTTCTCTAACTTCACCGGCCGCCACCACCACCGAGGACCGCCCCTTGAATTTATTCGTCTCCTCTCTTGATTCGAAATCTGCATTGCTTTCCACTTCCGTCGCTTTTTTCTCACACGACTCTTCAAAACTCAAATCTAAAGAATTCACCTGTGACTTTGGTGTCGCTAGAGAGGAACTAGAGGAGGACTCGAGTTCTGGTATTTTTTTTATATTTATTTTAATCAGAATTTTTTTTTCTTACAATACCAAACTTAAACAGAAGTAATTTTTTAGGTGGTTGGGAACTCAGCAAAGGCTAATTTTTCTTCCTTTTTCTGAGTATAAGTTTAATTGTTTGGTTGCTGAGACAATTGAAGAAAAGGGATGGGAGGCAACTTAACTTTAAATTTTATTTTTTTAATTTCTGGGTGGTTGGGAACTCAGCAAAGGCTTCCGCAATTTATTATTATGATTTTTTTTTTTCTAAAAAAAAATTTCTAGTAAGCCAAACTTTGAAGCAGTAGTTGCCAGACAATTTTGGCATGTTTATGTTATCTCTTTCGTTGCTCAGAATTTTGAGAGATGAAATGGAAACCAGGGTTTAATGGTTTATGTTGTTTTGGTTGTGTTTGAGGACTCGACTAAGGTGTTTTCTTTTTTCATTCAGTGAACTCACTCATTTCAATTATTTTTGCTTGCCATTTGAGTGTACTTAGAAGTAATTGGATTGAACTATGATGGTATTTGATTTGATTATGATCCACTAAAGTTGTATACAGCGGCAGTATTTTCCATATTGCGTGGTATGTTCGTGTAATTTATGGTATAATGAATGAGTTAAAAAAATGAATTGTGTGATGTTACGAACTCAAAAGAAAAAGTGTTAACTCCTTTTCCTTAATTGAATGTGGAGCTCGTTAGTTGTTATTCAAATGTTCTAATTGGTTTCATTTATTCTCTTACTTTGCAGTTGATGCTACGGTTAGTTCGCCCAAGTCAGGAGGGACTAATAATGCTAATGCTTTAGAAACTGAATTAGAGATACAATCGTTTTCTACCGTGTCTAACATCAACATTTCACAACTTGGAAAAAAAGTCTTGCATGAGAGGAGACAAAAATGGATTTCCAAAAATCCACAGACTCATTGTTTTGAAAAGTTAGTGAACCTGAGTGCAAATAAACTGGGGACTGATGCTACTCTTAATGTATTTGGTAGATTGGGGCGAGAAAATTGTGTGAAAGAGTACAATTCGTTAATAAGGATCTGCATTGAGCGGGCTAAGGATTGTGATTATGAAGATGTTGCACTAGAACAAATTTGCAAAGCTTTTCAACTTTTCAATTTAATGAAGGAGCAGGGTTTTCAGCTTGAAGAGGAGACTTATGGTACACTTCTTATGTATTTAATTGACATGGGTATGATTGAAGAGTTTCATTTTTTCCGTAAAGCTATTGATAGTGGAAATTCTCGTTCGGATCCAAGACTAGGTTATTATGAGATGTTGTTGTGGATCAGAGTCAATGATGAAGAGAAGATTCAGGAACTCTGTAACTGCACTGCAATTGATTATGAGGGAGACCATTTCAACTTGATAGGCAATGAGATTTTTTATTTCATTATCGTTTTGGTTTACCCTTTTGTTTTAATAATTGCCTACTTTGCATTACTGGGCTTACAAGATTCAACCTTGCATTACAGAGAATTACTTGTTAGCACTTTGTGAAAGCAAGCGAAAGCGTGAATTTGTGCAACTTCTAGAGACTGTGGACATAACAAAGGTTTCCTCACTGGACCATGTGATGAGTATTTTTAAATTCTTGGGGAGGCTAGTGTTGGAGTACTTTGCAGAGAAGTATCTTGTGGAATTAACAATATCTGGTATGTACATGGTTTTTTAATTTTCCATGATCTGGAAACTTTTTATTAAGCATTTACTAAAGGCTTATTTACACAACCTCTAGATATGTTTGGGGAATTCATATCTGAGTGCAGGAACAATTTTGTTGCTAGTGTAAGTGACAAAGTTTTAGGACAAAAACTAACTTCAGTTGCAAAATAGGAGCGGAATAACAATCAAGGAGCCTTAAATTAAGTTGCTAAATTAGTATGAGTCTAGGCATTGAATCCTGGCCTCTTTTTTACACATAATGTATTTAATAGGAGAGAGGCATGCCTTGGGTCTTCCAATTTGGGGCTGGTCACTGGTGTTAATCTTTCTATGGGGCTATTGTCCATGCCAAAATCTACTTTGCTAGGGACTCTTGCTTTACAAATCAGAATTGAGGAATATAAAATAGGGTATAAGATTATCTACTAAAGTTTTACTATGACATCGGTAGAGAACAAGACAAACTTGATTTCTTAAGCAAAGAAATTATTTGTTTATTTCTTTGCTGTACTTTTACAAAACTTATTCATATTTAATATCATGATCTTCTAAAATTGTTCCATGACTGTATGTATTTATCTAACATTATAAAATTATGTAAAACTTTAATGATATTCTGGATGACTTACTTTGAGTAGTTCATTATGTAATTATTTGTGTTGATGCACCTATTCTGTGTCTTTCATATGTATCATAAACAATTAAGTTCACTTACCTTATATGTGGAATCTATAATAGAGAATGTGTAGGTTTTGATAGAAGACTTGGAACTTGTTATTAATAAAGCTATCCATGCTTGGCAAAATTACAGATTATGGAGCAGAGAATGTCTCAAATGTCATCTTTAGCTACATCTCTAGCATTCCAAATTTAGAGGTGAGAAACTTCTCATGAATGCTCTTGGTAATTTTTGAGAGACCATGATCCTATGAGACACCCTTAAGTTCACATGCAGTTTGCCTTTTCATTTTAAAAACTTCATTCTACTTTTTACTTCATATAAGACTTAGGACACTCATGAGCTGATTGGTTTTCTGGAGGGAAGTTAAAATTAAAACCCCTTTGGTGTGCTAAATCAAGTAAACCCTAAGTTCTCAAAAGAAATCATAAAGCCACGTTTAATTATGGCTTAACTGGTTGGAGTTTTATTTTTTGTATCTTATCTTATTAACAAATTCTAATTTGTTTCAATTGTGATAGATTCTTCTGAATAATATATTTTGGTATGATAGACAAGCCATAGTGGAGTTGTTTCATTGAAATCTTTCTCTCTTTTTTGTGGTTTGAGGGAGGTTACTGTTTCTAAATGCTCCATTTGGACCTTTTTCTTGTTGAAATGGTTTGTTTTTTAAGGTAACACTTTGGAAAAAGATAATGGCCTATTTGTTACATTATTTGAAATATTCAAAATAAGATTAAATCAAATAGAATAGGATTCTGAGAATGTATTTGGTACATTTTTGGAATTTTTTTAAAATATTTAAATTATTTTTAACCCCTAACATTTTTTAATTTAGCTAAACACCCCCAAAATAAAATTTTATAAATTAACAAAAACACCCCTACCACCCAACCGACTGCTGGTAGCTGGCCACTATCGCCGAATAGTGGTCGGCTGGATCTGGCATTTTCCAACTAAATCCACTTCGTATTTGGCTGGAAACGACCAAATCTCCTACTAGAATCTGGCCGTCGTCAACAGCCAAATCTCTAGTTGTTTCCGACTAGATCTATGGTGGATCTAGCCAAAAACAGTGATGATGATTGCTGGCGGCGGATAGTGGCTTAGGTGGGTGGGAGTGTTTTTGTTAATTCATAAACTTTTATTGTAAAAAGTAATTGCTAAATGTTTTGAGTTGAATAGAGTAGGATTGAATTTTGAATCAAATAGTCAATATTAAAACAAATAAGTTTTTTTTTTATTGTTTATGATAGGATAGGATAATAGAATAGAATAGAGTTTTAAAAAGTTGAACAAACAGGGGGAATGTTTCTAGACCCTGCCTTATCAGTTCAGTTTGCACCATTCCTAATGTGCAAACAATGGAAGAATCTATTTTTTGTCAACTTTGAAGGGCTTATACTAGTTGACCATCTTTAGGCAATACTATTTTTTGTCAACTTTGAAGAGCTTCTACTAGGGTTTTTTTTTTTTTTTTGGCTCTCAATCTTATTTATCTTAAAGTTTGAGAAGATTACTTTACCTGGGACATTTTTTAGGAAGCCAATGTTTAATATCATTTAAATTGATTCACTCTTAATGAGTATCTATTCTGTTAGTCAAGTTTTATGGGTCTCTATTTGTTTATCTATCAATCATCCATGCAGATCGATACATACCCCTCATTTTTTAGGTCATCAATTGAAAAATTGTATTTTCGCATACAACTTGGGAACTTAAGAGTTACTTGACAAATTTTTATTGTAGGATACTCATTGCATCTTGCCTACAATCAACATCTTATTTTATGTTGTATGAGTTATGAATTTTGTAGCATCTAAAAGGCTTTAGTTATATATTGACCTTTTTTTTGAGTTATGTAACTTTTTTGTCGCTTTATGCGTAAGCAATATTGCCTTAAAAACTGATCAGTTTACATGTGTTTTTCATTTTTGTTTTCTTTACATATATTGTTGTAAATTCAAGGTTGAGGGTATTATTTCAAAGTTTAGAGACTTGCATGCCAAGCTGGAGATCAAACCTTCTTCCGCATCATATGAGAAGCTCATTGCTTACACTATAAACAGAGTTGCTTATATTTATAATTATGGCAAGGTATGAATCTAATTTCTTTGTAGAAGGAGAGATCTAAAGGAAAAATGACTAAAAAGATGAAAAAATTTGAACAAAGTTTTTTTAGGATTATGATGTCATGTGAATTATTGAAAAATTGTTATCCCTCCCTCATTTTTTAATCTAATTGTGTAATCATACAGTTTTTTAATTTTTATTGCTATTTATTTGGCAGAAAATTACAATATAACTAATATATGTTTGATTCCTTTCAAAGCACATTGTGGCTGTTAATAAAATTGAAGAATTTTTGGATGAAATTTTTGGAGCTGGATCAACATTATCCACAGGCACACTTATTTTGATTGCTTGTGAGGACAAGGACGTGTATGAATTGGTATGTAGGTTTGACTCTGACCATTTTCTTCTGTGCAATTTAGGGTTATAAATACTTATTTTAGGTTGTTAGGACGTACTAGTAATCAGAAACACGATTTTAATAGTTGAATTGTTGACTGTGATTTCAAGAGTCTTTGTATTTGTCATGTATAAAATTCGTTTTTTTGGTCTTCTTTGATATGTAAAATTTTAGGGTGTATTTGTTTTGTTATTTTGAATATGATTTTTGAAATAGTATTGGTAGGTAGAGTTGTGTGATTATTACGAGGTCAAATTTAAAAATTACAAAAAAAATTCCCCTAAATTTGCTAATTTAACTAAACACCCCAATATATAAATTTTTTGTAAAATGACAAAAACACTCCCACCCACCCACAATGCCAAATTCGGCCACCATAGCCAAAATCTGGTCAGAATCTAGCATTACAGCATAGACCGGTCGGATCTGGTAGGTCGTGCGTCGATGTGGCCTTTTTCGACCAAATCGGCGTATTACCGGCTAGTTCCAATCGTTAGTACGCCATTGTGATAGATTCCGGCCACCACCGACGGTAGTTGCCAGAATCTGGCAACTATGGGTGGGTGGGGGTGTTTTTGTTAATTTATAAAAAAAATTGTTGGGGGTGTTTTGTCAATTAACAAACTTAGAGGGGTTTAAAAGTCTTTTAATTTAGGATAGGATTTTGAAAATAGGGAAAGAAATGTGCATTTGTATTTGAAATAGTGATAAATAATGAAACAAACGAACCCTTAAATATCCATTTTGAACATATGAACAACCAATTTTCATATAGCCTCTTATAAAAAATAATTAAATAAATAAACAAAGGAAGTAGGAATGAAAGTGAATCCATCATGTTTGAAATCAAGTAATCCTGAACTCTAGTTCACTGGAATTGTTGTGACTTCTGATGGTTAGCTTAATTGTCTAATTATTGTCATATTACTGATCTTTGTTGGTGCACCACGTTGATCTAAGCGATGGTGTAAGGAGATAAAACCATAGGAGATGAGTTGAGCAATGATCTAAGGCTCTCATAGATGTTAGCTAAATTATACGCTTTTGCTATGAAAAATGTGCCTTTTAGTCTAAACTATATAGTACTGGTAAAAAATAAATGAATAAATAAAAACAAGAAGAAGAGTCATACATATTCATGCATGGCTAATCCTTGGTGTTGTTTGAATGTATTTCTGTTGTGTTTAATTATCTGTTTTTATTTCAGGTTCAGCTATGTCAGGTTCAGCGAATCTATTCGGTGATCTGCCTTCATAACTTGAAGCCAAATAGTGAGACCTTCAGGAGCATGATAAGTTTATGTGTAAGAAGGAAAGATGTAAGTAGCTGCTCATATCTAGCTTGTGTTGATTTTTATTTAAATTGTGATATGCTAAACACTTGAGTATCCTAATGGTTGAAACTTAAACATTATACCAGTTTATGTTGAAACTTTACTGTTCCAATATAGTTTGATGGTGCGTACGCAATGCTCGGTGATGTAAAGAAAATGAATTTGATGGTAACTGCAGACACGTACAATGCTATAATGGTTGGCTATTTTCAACGGGTAACTTCTTCGCTCTCAATATATGCTATTGAATTTATGATTTTTGTCTCATTTTGTGTTTTGACTTACTATATGGCTAAATGCGCTGTAGAAAGACACGGATGGTGCGTTAAAGGTGCTTCAACAAATGGAAAAGGCAGACGTGAAACCAAATTCTCAAACTTTCAGCTACCTGATACAAAATTGTAGCAATGAAAAAGATATTATCAAGGTAGTTTAAGATTCTTGTTTAAACGAAAAGTTCATTTTGTCCTTTTACCTATGAAGAGTAGATACTATTTTATTGTTATTGATAAACAGTTTTATGATTTTCTCCTAGGAATGTTTTTTTTTTTCTTTTTTTCTTTTTCCTTTTCATCTTATTGCCAAAGATGGATTTCGCAGTACGTGATGTGATAATTTTGTTGTTTGCTTTTAGTATTATCACGGAATGACGTGCTTCGGAGTTCAAGTTACAAAGGATGTCTTCATGGCACTTATTAATGCATATGCATCTTGTGGAGAGTTTGAGAAGGCAAAACAGGTATTGGCGCATGTCATATCTTGATTTTGCTTGAATCCATTGAATGCAGAAGTTGTTTCCAATTAGTTATCGGAAATATGAGACTTGCCTGCATGATTTGATTTTTATGTTGCTGCTTATTGGATAAAAACATCTATGCTTATGATAGACTAGTCTGCATGTTTGATTCGATGCTGCTACTGTTTCTAGATAAACATAAATCATCTTCTCCATTTTGTTACTTTATACAATTAATCCATGGACTCAGATGGTGCGATATACATCTTCACTTGTGCCTAAATCAATTGCATTGCTTTTCTTGATTTAGTTTAGCTAATAGTAAATTATTTTTTTCCCTAAAGGTGTATCTGGATTGAATTGTCAATTTATGATAATCTAATATATACTATTTTCCATAATAGGTGATCTTAGACAAAGGTATTCCAGTTTAAAGCCTAAATGAAATTAAAGGATCACTTGTTGCAACTCTTGCATCGAATGGACAAATGTTTGACGCCTTTGTCATATATGAAGAAATTAAGCAAGCTGGATGGAGATTGGAGCCTGAAGCTGTCATAGCTCTTATTGTAAGTTTTATATAGAGATATTTTGTATTTCATGCTTTGTAAATGCATTGACAACATCTTTTCTTATCTTAGGAACAACTCCATTCTGAAGAAGATTTGGGTAGATTAATTCAGCTATTGGAGGAATTGGATGATCCAAACAATTGGAAGTATTGTTGCCATAGGCTGATCTTGCACTGTGTTCGATTGAAGCACTTAAGGTCCAGATACAAAACTCATTATTTTTTTCTTTTTCAATCAATTTACTTAACCAGTTTGCTTATGTTAATCTTCTTTCATTCTAGCTCTGCGATTGCTTTGCTTAAGCAACTCAATGATTATGATGATGAATTGGCTGGAGACTTCTTTTTTCTTGAGGTTTGCTCCTTTTCTTTTCTTGTCCATTTGTAATATTGCTCTAAATAAAAACATTGTTGGTCAGCAGATTGGTTGTTTGGAAAACATATTATAGTAATAGTATATGCAAACTTATAATATCTATCCGTTTCCATGTTTATCAATGAGTATGCTAATATCATGTGTATACTTAGAATATTGTAAAATATAAATTTTCTTTGTATATTTAAGGTATGATTATGAATGAATGTGATGAATCTTGTATTTTGTCATTTCAATTTTATGACTATGTAGGTATTTCATCTCATAGAGGAAACAGAGCCTCCCGATTTACAATTTGGCTTAGACTTGCTTCGGTTCATTAAGAATGAACTTCACTTTGCTCTATCATATGAGTGGCTTCGGTCTCTTCGCAGCATTTTTGTGAAAGAGAAAAATATACAAATTTCTCGTTTGATTTGGAAAGAATTTGTGACAACAGATTACAGTTATTTAAGTTATTTATAGTAAGATATGCTTGTTCTTATTTTTATGTTTATATTTTTTTTATGAATAATGAGAGTTTTATCTTTCTCCATAACTTATAATAGGATGTTTTTCAATTTTTTGCAGCATGTATGAAGACCTTTTGATTTCAGGTGATCATCAGGGTGCACGGAAAATACTTAGTAAAATTCCAAAAGGCAGTCCGAATACCAATGAGCTGATCAATGCTATCCAGGAGGTGGGCAAAGCCTGGCAACGCCTCTCTCTGGGCTCGACCCAGGGGCCCAAGGGGATTCCTCAAGCTAGGCCGGAATCCCCAGGCCCAGCCCACTAGGATGAGTTGACCCCACTCCTACTCCACCACGAATTCGGGGATTTTGGGGGGGAAATTCCCCACTTGCCTTAATTTATTATTATTTTTTCAGTAACTTTTTCTTTTACAAGTATTGCAATCTATTTTCACTCTTTAATAACCATGAAAAGATTTGTATGATTATGGTTTTACTCTTATTCTATTTATTTTTTGACCCAAATTTTTTATTTAAAAAAGAAAAAAAAAAAATATATATATATATTATATATATAATATATATATATATATATTGTGGATGATTATTAATAAAATTGCATACAAAAACATACATATTAACATTTACATATATTTAGGTAATTATAAATGTTAAATTGAATCACAAAAACATAAATCATTTCTTTAAAAAATATATATATATATATATATTAATATATATATATATATATAATATTTTTTTTTTTTTGTATGCAGTCTTATTAATAATCATCCACATATATATATAATTATATATGTTTTTTTAACTTTTGGCTTATAGATCTTTAGCTTATGGCTCATATAATTTATCTTAGGAGATAATGTTTTAATTTGCATCCGAATATTTAAAAATAACTTTGATGATTGATTCTAATTCCATGATTACAAGATTATCTCTTTATTTTATTTTATAACTAAAGATATTCATTAATGGATTTCAAGATCTATAATTAACTTATTTCTAAATCTTTATTATAAATTTATTTTTTTTAGACTCTCCTCGTTTAAAAAATAAAAAGCCTTATAATTCACTTTTTATTCTTGTCTCTTGATCTACATAATAATATACTTTTTAAATTAAAATAGGGAAAAATAATTTTACGTTTAGACTTTTGTACCTTCAAAGTATTGCTCTATTTTTTTTTTTTTTATTAATTTGTTAGAATGTTAATTAAACGGGGAAGGCTGGGCGGAGCCAGAATCTCTCTCCATTCCTGCAACTTCTCCAAGGAAATCCATTATTTCATACCCTATTGGCTTCTCCAAGTTGATCTCTTTGGTTCTTCTCCAACCCACTTCGACGTTTGGTGGTTCTGGCTTCACAAGACCTGCTTTTGACTTTATCTCCAGAAGTATCTCAGGTTTTCTTCTCTTTTCGATGGGGAAAGACGCAGGGCTGGCGTTGGCCACTGAGTTTGGAGATGGAGAAGGAAAGTCTTGGGGTTGTTTACCATCATCTGGAGTGGGGGTTAAGTTGTTTGAAGTGGTACTGCATTTGATGGATAAGTGGATTTTGGGCATTTGGTTATGGAGGACAAGTTTTGATGTGATGGGATGGGATGGGATGGGATGGGTTGAGAAAGACAGTGAAGGAGTGTGGACGTGGGAGCTTTGAAGCTACAAGAAACGTGAAAAGGAAGAAGAAGATAAGATATGTTCTCTTAAGAGATTTAAAGGTGAATTAAATCACTCAAATACATTTCTATTAAAGAAATCCTCCATTTTAATTATTACAAGGAATTCATAATAACATATCTGTTTTTTCAATTAGAACTGATTGAACTTACATCCTTGAGACATATATTGCATTGCAAGTTGTGGCATGGACAACACTGGTAAGATTTGGTCAATGAAAGGTAGGACACATATAGTAGCATTCTTCAAGGTGATTATTGTTAAGCACTTTGGACTTTCCGAATTTGTAAACTAACTTAATCATATAAGAATTTGATGACCTTTATCTTAACTAATATACTAAATTATCACGTATCAGTTGCTGTTGATAGACACAATTAATGAAAGTTTAATTAATTAACTTGGAATTATTCTTAATTAAATTATGGAATTAAGCTTTAATGTACTCACCATATGTTTCAGATTCAGAGTGTGCATCGAATCAAAAGAGTTTAAACAAAAGTATGAGTGCTTTAATTGCCAACAGGTGTCAAATTTTTGTTTTGGCCTAATTGAGAGAATAAAATTCAATTTCCCATCATTTATGCCTTCTTTCTTTGAGATTACTTGTACAAATCTTTTCATCCTGAATAAAGAGTAAAAGTACATTGCAATATTCTTAAAAGAAAAATTTACCAACAAAAAAAAATAATAATAATTAAGGGAAGGAAATAATTATCTAAAATAAAATATCAGATTCAATTGTTGCATGTCTGTTAATTTTCAAATAGCGTATTTGATAACGGGAATTGCATGAGTTTTTTAATTGTTGTATGTATATTGAATTATCAGTTTGTGATATTAGTGTATACAAACTGTTCTTGTCCATCAGTTTGTTTAATCAGATGCCTGTTGCAATTCTTGCAGTTTTTTATTTGATTGCATCAGTTGCTTGTTTTATGCAATTATACTGTATAAAGGGCCTGATTTTGGTACAATATTTTGTGGGCTGGTTAAGTAGCATCATGTTTTTAAGGCATGTTTGTTTTGCCTATCTTGAAGAATTTCAGGTAATTTTGTTGACTTTCATTAATTTGCTTTGTATTTCAGTTGTATTTGTTTGATTAGAAATATGTTTTACTTGGAGCTAGAGCTGGTTTTGTATGAACAAAATATGATTTTGTTTGTTTGTTTATGAAACAAGTGTGAATGGGTTTATAGAATACGGTGTTTCATGTTTCAGTTTGATGGTTTTTATGTTATGAATTGAGTGTCAACTGGCAAGGGTTGTTGATTGTCCTGTTTTGAAGAGAGTAGAGAGAAGATGGTGAGAAGCGAGGCATTGAGAGCTTATAGAGATTTGATTAAACTTACAAGGTATTCATTCACGGAAGACACTGTGATGCTTAGACAATCTGTCAAAGAAATTCGTAAGAGATTCAACAAGAATCGTCATGTTAACTCTGATACTGAGATTAAAAAATCCTTGAACGTGCACATTTATTCTCTCTTCTGACAGACATACAAAGTTTAATCCTTCACAAGTGTACGAGTCGCAATCGCAACATAGTGAACGAGTAAGAGTCGATCCCATAGAGATTGGAGATGCTCTTACAATCCTAGTAACTATGCCTTGATGAAAGTAACAAGAATTGAAATAAAGAAAACATAAAATTGACATTAAAGTAAATCTAAATCTAACTATATACAAAGAATCATAGGGCTCTAACTCCAGCATAATTATCAGGCTCTGTGTTCATCATCAAACTATCATTCTCCCTACTCTATTCTAGGGTTCATACATTATCGGGTTAAACCTAGTACTTTCATCATTAAAACTAGCTAGTGGCGTATAGCCTAGTCTAAACAACGAATGAACCAATTCGCATAGACACAAATCATCCATTCACAGAGCTAATCAAGATAGGCACGACATCTCTCATTTCTAAGGTATTACCACAACCATTTGGAATAACCTAGTGTTTTCATCAACTAAACTAACTAGTGGTGTATAGCTTAGTATAGTAACAAAAACCCATTAAGTGCAAGACAATCTTAAAGACAATAACTAATCTATACCCAGGTAGGGTTACAAATTAGTCATTCCATACACAATCTTGTCTCATACAGTCAATCAACTAACATCAAGGTTGATCAGGCCCTAACATCAACTAAAGATTGAATTAAATGTAATGAATGAATCTAGAACATAATAGAATGGATCAAACAAATAGAATAACAATAAAACACAAGCCTCTAATTAGATTACATCAAATCCTTAAAAAACAAAATACAACATAAAGGAAAAGAAACGATTACACCTGGAACCATAATCATGAAGAACAAAGGAGGAGGAGAGAAAGAGAACCTCCTCTCCTCTCCAATCTCCAACTTTCCAAGAAGCCCCAAGTGTAGTTCAATCCCTAAAATGTGTATCTTCATTAAACCTAAAACGAAATAAACTACCCTTTATATAGTTTTTACAATGAGTGGCAGTTTAATAAATACCGATAGCTAAAATTAGGGTTAGAAATGTAATATTTTTGCATTTTGGGTGATTTGCACCCCGGCGTGGTTGAATTGTGTGTGAAATTAGCTTAGGGTTTGCGAATCAAGAACGAATTGAGAGAAACTGTTTGAATTTTTCTTTACTGACGAACTGATATTTTCTATATACAGTGAAGAGTAATCTTTACTCTTTTATACAAGTACAATGTAAGAGAGACTAAAGTGCTGCGTTTTACAACTGTTTGTTTTATAAAACATAAAACGACATCGTTTGCAGAATTACATTTTCCCTTGCTACTTTGGCTCTTTTGCACTTTCGTCCTTTGACCAACATCCCCTCTTAAACTGGACACTCTGCTTCTGTTGCTTCAGCAGTCTTTTACCAGCTTTTCTTAGCATTTCCTTTCACCTCATTGGTTCTTTGACCAACATCCCCTCTGAAACTAAACCTCCTTTTCTACATTTTCCAGTTCACACTACCTTATCAACCAAACTTATTTTCCAGTTCTTCACACTACCTTATCAACCAAACTTATTTTCCAGTTCTGTTGCAGCAAATCAAGCTTTTCATCCATACTACCTTATCAACCAAACTTCACAAACAAGTTCTGCATTTTTATTTCAACTGCAGCTTCAACTGCAACAAATCAAACTTCACATCCACACTACCTCACACTACCTTATCAACCAAATTGCACAAAACAAAACTCATTTTCCAGTTCTGCATTTTTCCAGTTCTGCATTTTTATTTCAACTGCAACTTCAACTGCAACAAATCAACTTTTCATCCATACTACCTTATCAACCAAACTGCACAAGCAAGAACTCATTTTCTAGTTCTGCATTTTCCCAGTTCTGCAATTTCATTTCAACTGCAACAAATCAACCTTCACATCCATACTACCTTATCAACCAAACTGCACAAACAAAACTCATTTTCCAGTTCTGCTTTCCCAGTTCTGCAATTTCATTTCAACTGCAGCAAATCAAACTTCACATCCACACTACCTTATCAACCAAACTTCACAAAACAAAACTCATTTTCCAGTTCTGTATTTTTATTTCAACTGCAGCAAATCAAGCTTAACAAGTCAGTAATCAACCATGACAATCAACTTTAGATAGTATTTCATTTGTAGTTCATTATTTGCAGTGTCAGCTTAATCAGCTGAGGTTCAAGACAATCACACACAGCTTAGGCACTCTTTGTTGCAAATCTGTTGCAACTGATGGCAATTCTCCAATCTGTCACACCTGCTGCAACACTCACCACAAATTTTCTGTAACAACTACAGACTGTAGTTTTATCAGTTTAGAGATTAGGAACTGCAACCACATTCAGCTTCTGTCTCAGCTCAGAAAATTGAACAGCAGACAATGCTTTTGTCAGGATATCTGCAATCTGCAGTTTTGAGGGTACATATTGAACTGTCAGATTCTTGGCAAGAACTTGCTCCCTAATGTAGTGAGCATCTATTTCTATATGCTTTGTTCGGGCATGGAAGACAGGATTTGAAGCTAAGGCTCCGGCACTTGTATTGTCGCACCAAATTACAGGTTTTGAGGACACTTGAAGACTGAGTTCAGTGAACATACTTTGAAGCCATGCAACCTCTGTGGCAGTTTGTGCTAAGGCTCTGTATTCAGCTTCAGTAGATGATAGTGCAACAACTTTTTGCTTCCTGGAGCTCCACTGAATTAGATTAGGTCCAAGATAAACACAATATCCACTAGTAGACCTTCTGTCTTCAACATTGCTACCCCAATCCGCATCAGCATAGCATTCAATATTCAGGGAGCTTGCTAGTTTAAACTGAAGTCCATAGTGCAGTGTTCCTTTAACATATCTCAGAACACGTTTACATGCTTGCCATTGTAACTCAGTTGGGGCTTGTAGAAACTGACTAAGACGATTAACAGTGAAGCTAATATCTGGTCTTGTCAATGTGAGATACTGCAAAGCTCCAATTGTGCTGCGATATAAAGTTGGGTTGTCAAACAGATCATTGTCATCACTCCTCAGTTTAGTACCAATAGCCATTGGTGTAGTGCATGAGTGGGCATCCTAACAAGCAAATCTGAGGCATATTTGGACTGCCTGAGATGTATGCCAACACCTGTCCTGACTGCTTCCAGCCCTAAAAAATACTTGAGTGATCCTAGAGTTTTCAAAGCAAATTGCTCATTTAACTCTCTCAACAACTGAGTAATGTAGGCTGCATCAGAACCAGTTATTAAAATATCATCTACATAAACAAGAACATAGATTAGTCCTGATGATTTTTTAAGAACAAATAGACTAGAATCAGAAATTGAGTTTTGAAAACCCTTGTCTTGAAGGGCAGCCTTGAGTTTATCAAACCAGGCCCTAGGGGCCTGTTTAAGACCATATAAAGCCTTGTTCAGCTTACACACATGAGAAGGATGAGCAGCTGAATCAAAACCACTTGGTTGCTGCATAAACACTAACCCACTCAATGTGCCATTAAGGAATGCGTTGTTCACATCAATTTGTTGAACATCCCAAGCATTGGTTACTGCAAGAGTGAGAACTATTCGGATGGTAGATGGTTTTATAACTGGACTAAATGTTTCGAAATAGTCCAATCCAGGAGTTTGTTGAAACCCCTTAGCCACTAGTCTGGCTTTATACTTCTGCAGAGTACCATCAGCATTCAATTTTGTTCTNGATGATCATTTTTCACCAAGCCTATAATTAGGTTATAACAGAATAACAGACTGTCAATGGACGGGGTTAGGAATTCTAATTTCCAGGACTAGAAAGTTACAATGTCATAGCTACTTTAGGATACTAAAACTTTCTTCTCATAGCGTACCATTATTGAGAAGCCTAGTCCCAAAATCCTGTCAATTGACAGTCTATTATTCTGTAATAAATAATAATACAGAGGAGCAAAAACGAAAAGGCTAAAAGATAAGAAAGAAAAAATAGTTTACTCAAAGCAGCGTGAGAAAATCAAAATTCTGCTCTTGTAATGTGTTGGTCAATGTTTAATTTGTTATTGTTAGATGAAAACTCATATCATGAAAGATTCTGGCTCCTTAATTAAATGCTCCGCTTAGTGACTTAAAGCCATAATCAAAGGACCAGCAATTTGCTTTACACGTTTTGCCATGTTGAATGGGCTCCCTGAATTTTCTCCAAATCTTATTACAAACTGAACCATGTCCAACACATCGAATAGACTTGGAAGAGTCAAGCGTAAAAAGCTTTAATCAATCTTTTTTTTTCTAAATGTTTTTGTTGAACTTTGAACAGATTAAGTTTCTTTATTACTAAAAAATCAGCTATTGACAATGAGAGTTGAATTAAAGTCTTCGTACTTTTATCAAAAGCAAGTTTGATTTCATCAAGCTTAATTATATTTCCTCTTGCTATATATCCTATATCAAGCGTTTCCATAGACCACCTACTTGCCTGATTGATTTGGTTTAAGAAATTGTCAAGAAATTGCATTTGAACATGAAATCTTACCCACCCGAACCATATAAGAGTTTCTCTATGCCGAAAAATATTCAGCTCTCATAATGTGACCTTTTGATTTGTTTGTCTCTTTGGAATTTTTGTCTCTTCGGAAAAACTACGGAGAAATTACTCGACTTTTAAGGAATTAGTAATGGTAAGGAAGGCCATATCGCGTTTCATAAGGCATCTTACTGACCTTTTGTTTACGTTAACCTAACACAATTTGACTAGGAACAGCAGCAACTTCCATGCATTATAAAGACTCTGTGCACTCTGTTTCTCCCAATGCTGTCAAAACCAAGTCTACTTCCCGGCATGTTGACTTGGAAATTTGAAGTTTAAGCCACTAGTTGGAGACGTGCACTTTGTGATCTGGATATCTTTTCAAGTCAATGAACATGAAAGACCATTTGCATGACCCACATATGGGTAATTAGTTAAGTATACTATTACATGACCGTATTGGAAGATATTCAAATTCAAGTATCATTGGAGAGAGAACCATGAGAAGGGAAGGATCATTATTAACGTTTTCAAATTTTCTTGTTTCTGTGTTGATCTTCCTGTTCATCACAGAAATACAAGCAGAAAACTTCAACAAGATGTTCTTCTTCATGTGGAGACATCAAACATAAGATACCCTTTTCGCCTTAAGGGCGATCCAGCAATGTGGTCTTCTAACTTCGAACTTTCATGCCAAAGCAACAAACCATCCTAGAATTTCATTCAGGAAAGTACTATGTGAAGAATTTCACATAAAGAAAAGACATCAGTGTTTGTTATGTTAACTTAGCCAGTGGACCCTGCCGCCTTCCATACGGATCTCTGTAGCAGACGACATATTCAAGGAATTTTCCATTAAGTTTAGTTTTGGACTAGAACTAGAACGGTACTACAGTTATGGCCACATTTTCTGGTGCTCTCAGAAGATTAATGATCCGCGTTTCCACAAATTCCTGCTTGAGTGAAAATCATTCTCATTCTTATGTTACAATTTATTATCTAGAGTATCAGTATCAGTTTTGCTCGTTAAATGCAGTGACTCCTATATACTATGCCATATGAGCTGTTTGGTAAAAACATATCATTATGAAACCATCCGCAAATTTCTGCAGTCAGGTGTCAATCTTACATGGTCCTTTGAGTGCAGGGACAACAGGGATGTACGTGATTGCAAAAAATCTGAAACTGCACTTAGTAGTTCATCTTTCTACATATGTATTGATAAATTGTGTGATGACTTTGTTGATTTCTTTGTACTTTTCCATGCGTCTTCGTCTGTTATGTCTTGTAACTCTTAACTCTGTTTTTTTTTTTTTTTTTTTTTTTGGTGCTAATGCAGATCCGTCATGACTACTTGCGGCGTAATATGTATATCCATTCGTTGGATCCATCCTGTCGTGCGTATGATTTCCTAGCTGCAACCCCTGTTCTTAATATTGGCTTGGTTACTGAATAATAGCTTCATGAGCCTTAATTTTTAATTTCTTTGTGGATTTAGCAGGTCGTAGTTTCGCTGAATATATAGCACATTTCATGGAATGGTATATGAATATGGGATTGTTTTTGGACAGCTTCTGCTCGGAAAAATTCCCAGGCTGCAATCAATTCCTGTTTGTATTGCACCGACTATGATTAATACCTCAATTAACTCTTTTTATTTGGGCTGTTGGGTTTGCAGTGGTGGTTCTAGTGGTTCTTATTTGCAGATTTTTGGTGCTCCAATAGTTTTAGCTGTGTACCTCATCTTCAAATATAGAACAAAACGAAGAAGGTTGATACTGTGGAGAAATTTCTGCACAATCAGCAATCCTGGATGCCTAAAAGGTACGCTTACCCAGACTAATGGCAGGACAAACAATTTTGAAGAAAAATTGGGCCAGGTGGCTTTGGATCAGTTTACAAAGGACGACTTCATAGTGGTTGTTTAATTGCGCAACTGCTGAAAATTCAAGTTTAGTGGCAGAAGAATCATTAATGAAGTCTCTACAATCGGTAGAATTCACCATGTCAATATAGTACATTAGTTTGGATTTTGTTCAGAGGATCTAAACGTGCTCTTCTGTACGAGTATATGCCAAATGAATCCTTGATAAGCATATATTTTCCAAGGAAAGCAAATCTCTATCATTTAGTTGGGACAAACTATATGAATTGCTCTTGCAACTGCCCGTGGGATCGAGTATCTACATGGAGGATTTGATGTATGCATTCTCATTTCGACATTAAGCCACACATATCTGCTGGACCAAATTTCATCCCAAAGTCTCTAGTTTTTGGACTTGCAAAATTTTATCCAAAGGAAAATAATTTTGTGTCCGTTAGTGCTACAAGAGGAACAATAGGATACATAGCTCTTGAATTGATTTCGAGGAATTTCGAATAGTTTCTTGCAAGTCAGATGTATATAGCTTTGGAATGTTGTTGTTGGAAATGGTTGGAGGAAAGAATCTGATATGAAGGCACTCGTTCAAGCAAAGCATACTTCCCCTCGTAGGTATATGGACCAAATCAATATTGGTCGAGATTTGGAGCTCCAAGAGTCACTGAATGATCGTGATTGCAAGAAACTTTGTTTAACTGGGTTATGGTGCATACAAGTGAAGCCTTCAGATCGCCCTTAATTACAAAGGTTATTGAATGTTAGAAGGGAGCATGAATGACTTGCAAATGCCTCTTAAGCCTTTCTTTTCTTCTTCCGAGCATGTCTCTATAAGAGAGATTTAGTTAGACTCTTCAATTGAATTGCTATTATCTGAATCAATGAAGGATGCTCATACAACAATACTGATGCATAATTACTCTTGCAATGAAATGTGTAAAAGTAAATAAAAGCTACATCTGTTTGTATTGGTCATGTTCGTAATTACTTTTCTTGTATTAGTTTCTATGTGCCAAATGGTTGACTATGAAAAGATCAAAATGTTTTGGTTGACTATCCATAGTCTTTGATAACGAATTATTTATTAGACTACTAGCAATATTTCATTGATTACTCCCAACTTATCAAATTTAACAAACAAACTAAAAACTTGTGAAAAATATCTTTTTAAACTAAAACTTGAACGGGATTGGCCTCACAAAGCCATACAAGCCATTCTAGGCCTCGTTGCAGTCATCGAGGTTAGATTTGGCCTCATCACAGCCACGAGAGGTGAGATCTAATTTAATAGAACTAGTGAAGAATAAGGGAGGAAGAAGCAGAAGAGATAAAAGAGGGATGAGAAATAAAAAAGAAAAGAAAAATACTTTTGATTTTCAAACATAGTAATGCCAATAATACCCTTTGAAAAGATGGAAATATCAACACCCGTTTATAACAAAAACTAATGAAATGGACAAAGTCAATTTCCCATAACAGTGGGCGTTCCTTGTCACTTTTGCAAAGGTACGGGTCGACAGTAAGCGACTAATGAAAGTTTACATTCTATGATTATTAAATATCTTGTAAACGTTTGTAAGTTGGTATCAATTATTGTCACAACCTCAAAGAGTCTGCTTTCTCTGTTCTCCAAAGTCCATAATCTACCCAACTCTACTTTCTCTGTCCCTTT